TGTCATTGTCAACAAAGGATTTCCCATCAACATCTTTCCCTTCTTCCACATTTCCATGCATCCCTACCCCATAGACCGACACCTTTAGTTAAAGCATAGACAAATGCAAACGCCTGTTAACCTCTTCAACTCATGTCTTGTTCAAATGCAGCCACACCAGAAACAATCACCTGCATTCCACAAATTATTATGGAAGTAACGTTAAACGTTAAAAACAGATGGCCTCCCATTCTATCTCTCTCTGTATCTCAAAAGAATACAATACACACTCAAGATTAAAATATATCGTTTATGATTTCATATTAATGTGATATTCGGTGTGTCGAGTTTTAACCGTAAATGAAGCAGGCTGTAAAAATACCCTGCAGTTTCTTATCATGATACAAAAAACCTGGAGGAATGGATTCTAATGCCCAAATATGGGCTTAGGGGAAGTGGCCCTGACGCAATCATCACCGCTGTTACTTTAAATGGCTTCAGGAAACAAGGGCTCCCACTCACGTCATGGGTTTCCTCTCAGTATGTGCCACATGAGCAGGATGTGCTAAATATGGGCATCTGTCTGTCCTTCAAAAAGGAAGTAACACACACTGGGGGATGGGTGAGAAGAGAGCACACTATTATAAACAGGCCTTCTGCTGTTTTCCAGAGAGCAGTGGATTTTTTCCATGGTGTGAGAAAGACTAAAAATAGATAGGGAAATATCTTAGATTGCTCCAGTCCTGATACATGGTTTGCGGATCAAAGGAACACATTGTAGTCCATATATAATGTGTTAATCATTTTGAAACGTGTCCTTATCGTGCCTGAATAACATTACTTGCTGAGTCATGCCGAGCAGAGATAGTTCAATGCTAAAAAAAAAGGTTAAGGTATTCTTACACGACAGGCTGTGTTTGCATGTTAGAACAATTAATGTTATAAGCAAAAGGACTGATTCAGTAAGACCACTTTAAAGCTGCAACAAGGTTTTAAATATAAAAGCACATGCAGCATCCTGAACCCAAATTAAATGTCAAGTTGTTTTTGGATAATTGCTTAAACTTTAATGGAACACATTTTAGGTGGTTCAATGTATTACATGAAAACCAATGACACATCTTCGCCTAAGGGTGTTGATAGTTTTTACTACAAACACAAGTCAATGCGTAATAGAGCTGTGGGTATTAAAGCAACAGATACACATTTATACCAACACACAATATTTTATCAAAACCAGAACCAGGATGAAATGGGTCTGTTGAGTATTTCCAATGTGGAGACCGGTGCGTGCTTGGCATATCTTTGGAAATGTACCACAAGGAGGGGGGACTGTTTGTCCAAACTCCACACTACAAGCAGCTACACCACGTGGTAGCCATGCAGTTTATGAAACATGTATAATACCTGAAAACTATAAAGACTAGTTTTACAGGCAGTGTCGAGCTGTTCCTCCAGACAAAATTAGCAGATATCATAAAGCAAACAAATGTACAGATATACCATACATTTCTAAAGGCTTATTGTTCTTAGGTTGTCTAAAAATAAACTTTTTAAGATTCCAAGGTACCATTTTACAAGTCTAATGAATACAAAAAGAAACTGAAACTGTATTTCTCCACGTGTTTATGTAGTGATTTCCCTACTTTGAATTCGGTTTGAGTGACGCATTTATTTTTGTTGTTGTCTGTAGCTAATGCAATTATCATAGTGTGTGTGGAGGTTGCCTTACCAGTTGTTTGAATAGCAGACTGGTTTGAGGCCGATGGGCGGGGCTCTCTCACATGACGCTGAGTGAGTGACGTCAGCGAGGTGATAAGTACTTGTCTTGCAGTCAGTCTGTATTGTGTCTGCATGCGAAGTCAGAGGGGAGACACTTGAATTAACGTTAACCTTTGATTGTTTTTGACAAATTTAAAAACAAACAGTGTCATGGAGGTCACCACAGAGGCCAAGAGGATCATGGTGGTGGCTTTGGGGAAACTGTACAGCTCCCGCACCCAGCGAGGGGGTCTCCGTCTCCACCGGAGCCTCCTCCTGACCATGGTGATGAAATCCGCCCGGGACATGTACCATGCGGCCCAGGAGACGGTGGAGTGGGAGGCGGCGGAACAACAAGAGTCCCCGGCCGAGGAGCCTACAGACGCTCAAATGGAGCTCCAGGAGGGAAAACCTTTGAGTTCAACCGGAGAAGAGGTAGAAAGCTCCCCCGCTAAGCTCCGCCGCGACGCCTACAACAAGGAGAATATGAGCCCGCCCCGACCAGCACAACACTCCCGGAAAAGACGGGGTAAAGCGGCCGTGGAGCCGGACTTTCTACCTTGCAAAAAGGCAAAACTTGAGCAGAAAAACTCTCCCCATCAGCTCATATTAAGTACAGTTTTGCTGTGTGAATATATGAACTGCAGCAGTGAAGTGGGAGCACCCCCAGCCCCCATGCCTGTACAGAGAGCCATTGCAGCGTGTTGAAACTGCGCGGATTAAAGACTTTAAACTTCTCGACACGGCTTGAACGCCATGGACTCTTTCGTTTAACGTGAACATCCGGGATAAGAGTGCCCTGAAAGCCCCAGGCATGGCTGTGAACATGTCGGGGCATGTACCAGGACTCACGGAAGCAGCCCTGTGGATGTGTATTAGTCCCGGTGACTTTTGGCCTAATTATTGGCCATAGCTCACCACAAGGACAGGCTTCAGCTGGCCAAAAGCGGAACTAAAGGAACTGGTTGACCTGAATGAGGCCTTGAGCTGCCTTAATGGACATTAAAGCTTAACAAATGTGTGTGGATAAGTGCTGACTGAGATGACATGTGTTCCAGGTGTAAAACATTCAATGACTACAACTACCTCAGTATTTATTAAAAACGATTTTGTACCTAAAACCTCGAGTGGTGTGTTGTTTTTTTTAGTCATTGTATCACAACACTGCTGTTGTATAAGTGGGTGGGGGGGTTGCTTTTGGTTCAAGAAGATCCGTGTGGTTGTGGGTGACAGGAAACTGAGTGTGAAGAAGTTTGCTTCCTTCCCCCACAAACTTCACATCCCCCACACTGATTTTCAGAACAAAAGCTGGGACAATTCAGGAGATTGAGGTCCAAAGAGTGAGGGGGGGGGGGGTTGTAAAAACCATTGACTGGACATAACACTGAGAACAATCAGAGCCCTGCAGCTCTTAAAGTAGTGTTTTACTGTGGCTGGAATACTTGAATAATAGTGATTGATTCAGGGTGCAAAAGGTTGGGTAAAACATGCATTCGTAGTGTGCTGTTAAGTGGCGGTGGTTCATTATCAGTAATTCTGCACAACAAACAGATAAAGGGAGATTACACACAACTGAATTCCTTTCATTTGGGTCGTTAATTCTGCACCTAACCCAAACAGTATCTGAACATTGTTTTTACAAAACCATTCAAGTTAATTGATTAGCAATTAAAATGGAAGCTTAATTAATGGGTGAATTACATTTAAATACAATAAAGCTTTTATTTATATTCCTATTAACGTACGGTGTTCGTTTTGGAATGCAATGGCCCTGCAGACTACAGAGTGGGCGCAACAGGGATTCACCACCGGTGTTGAGGGGGGAGGGGATTTATCCCAGGAAAACAGAAGAAGGAATGTGGGGGGAAGTGCCTGAGAGCCCCATGAGGCTCCGACCAGGCTGCTTATTCTTCCGGCTGAAACCAGAGCACCCTGTCTGTGTACACACAGGGCCGGGAGGAGTGGCCGGAACCGTCTGGACATGCCTGTGAAAACACACACACGCTTGTTCGCCTTCTCCGATCACTCTCACACACTTTCTTTACCCTTTATCTGATTTCCCTCACACAGAAGCTCATAGTGAAGGAACATGCTGACACATCCATGTTCTTGTCACATCTATCTAAGCATAAAATTCATGTAATCTGCAAATGGATTTCTTTTTTTTCAGAATGTAAGCATTGCAAAAGCACATGCTGAATTGACTCAGAGCAGATTAGGTGGTTTAGATCCCTGTTACCTTATCAGCCTATAAGAGGCTTACATTTTAAGCTGTGTTAATAATGTATTTTATACCAAACCACCTTGTTTCTAATTAACAGCTATTTTCAAGCTCTGGAAAAACCCACTGAATGCACATGCCCATCATCAGACGTTACATTATTTTTATTTTTATTTAGCTGCAGCCTTCATCCTAAGCGACGTACAATAATTGCAATCACACTCAGAATGGCGAGGAATTCTATAAGCTTTCAAGAAGCCAAACCATTTTAAGTGTAACATACAAAACTTCTTCATTTAAAGGTGCAAACAGATGGGTTTTCTCTGACAAAGGAGGATGTGTATACTTTCTGCTGGTATCAATGGGAAGCTCTATTTTGGAGCCAGGATAACACAGCACGTAGACAAAGTTATCAATAGCTGGTGAACATTTTGAAGCTAAAAAAAGCACATTTTCCACCAGGAGCTGGTAAAAAGGTCAATACAAAGCTAATAGAGGGCGAATATAAGGCTTACCTTTTCCAGGTAGAAAGAAAACATGAATCCATATGAATGAAATGCTGCTCTGTGTCTACTGGAAATGTACATGTCAACAGTTTAACATGTTAAACACTTAGAAAGTGAGATGTTGTCAATGTGTTTATAGGTTATATGACCTTGTGGAGCTTAGTAGTGCTATGAAGCAGACTGTTGGTGATTGGGCCCATTGTTAACTTGTGTAATGCTCGACACTGCTGCTGGAACAAACTCATATCCCGAGTTTGTTGTGTGCGTTACACAATCCCGCCATTGGTTTCACACTATTCCACTGATGGATGTAATGCATGTTAGCACTGCATGTTTCAAAATGGTAATTTGTAAAATATGTTTTGCAAATCTTTCATAGTAAGGAAATTCGTTTCCAGTGTCAACATTACTTTTGGTTGTTTACAAGGAAACCCCAAGAGGCGCCTTTAAGCCACACCATATCTAGTAAACACCACACATGCTCAGTTGAAGAATAAAGCCATAATGTGGACAAGAAAAGAGGCAACACAGTGTGCATTCTCTCTGGATTTTAATCTTTAGGAAGAGTTCTGTTTAGAATTACAAAATGCACTGGTAGAAATAGCGGTGAGACAGTTTGAGAGTGCGACAGATAAGAGTGTGAGAGAGACAGAGTTAGAGAGAGAGAAAAAAGAGGGAGTGAGTGAGAGATCAAAGTTTTCCACAGCCATTCATAATGAGGACATCATCAGATTTGGCTAGCTCCTGTACCCCCTGACCCCCACACAAAGTAGAAGGGAGAATACACTTCTGTCTTCTGAACTGTACTTTCTTTTCTTTGAATATTTTTTTTAAAAACAGTTCTTTTTTTTCGTGATGTGCCTCAACCCCATGTAACAGAAGAAAACAAACTCTCACCAAAGTCTCTTGTGTTTTTTTAAACTCTTTAGACTTTTTTTTTGTAATTTTTAACCTTTTTTGTTCTCAAAAATAGAAGGAAAAAAAGGAAACGTTGCTTTTTAAAAACATCTATCTATTTATATATCTTTTTTTTTAATTCCTCTGAATTCTTTAATCTGCTTTTTCTTTTATGTCCTGAAGATGACTGTTAACCCACGGTGTGGCATGCACATAGCACATGCATTTCTGGAACTAGATATTTTTTCCTTTTTTTTTTACCTTTTGTATTTAAAAAACTCTTTTTTTCTCAGTAGCGGCTTTACATTGCTTTTTGAAGACTTTGTGTGGTTAATCAGCGTGTTAGTGGATTTCACTGCAGCATAGACACAAAGATGGATGGTGAATGTTTGGGGCTATGCCTGTTTCATTCAGGGGTTTACTGACATCACATGCACACACACGCACACACAAACAGAGTCGGAAATTTGATACAATGATTGGACTAAAATATTTTTTTAAAGGATTTCTGGAGACAAAGAATAGAAAGCAAAGCAAGCACAAAAACATCAAACATTTGATCTGAAACACACTCACTCATGTACACACACACGCGCAAAAAACCCACTTACACACACACACCACAACCAGGAGCTACATACTTAGTGTGCTTTCTGATTTTACGTGTAGTGATGTGAAAAAATACTTGTCTGTGACATTCCACTGAGGTTGGAAAGACACTAATAGGCAGTTTTTTTCTTTTCAATTTTTTCGGTGCATTCTCTGGTCAACATGTGATAGGCCTCCAGGTTAAAAAAACGTTAAATGAATGAACAGAATAATAATAATAATAACAATGTTGGGGCTGACAGTGGTGTGCATTAGTGACACGTGTTAGTTTGAGGCACACAGAGAAACACAAAGAAAGAAATGAAAGATATACAGGAGTGATTACACACAGAACATAGATGTTTTCAGGGACCATGACGAGGCCCACACATCTTTTCTCCAACCCGCCTGCACTGTGCAACACGAGTGAGAGAATGAGCTAAACTGTATACTTGGTGCATCGACTCCGAATCAGAAATGAAGTCAAAGGAGAGGTAAAAAACACACTGTCAAACAGCGCCCCCGGAAGGTCACAAGCGGTGGTGGAACTCTTTCGCATCTGCAGGAAACTTATTTTAATTTCACTGCAGAAACCTGGAGGCTACTGCTGTGTTTGGCCAATTCTTAGGGCGCTCTAAATCAAATTAACCCACGGTTCAAATTCTATATAGTGACAATCACCGCTTCATGTTTTCCCACCCGCAGACTCATTCTCCCACGATGCAACTGTGGGTTAGAGCTCCACCTTAGGGTTGGACAAATGATTAGCTGAGCTCAAAATCAAACAGAACGGAAACAACAGACCCAAAATGGAGAATCTGTCTCATTATCACAATCGACATGATCATTAGAAGTCACTATATCATCAGATTGTCCACCATGACGGTCGATAACAAAGAAAACAAAGATGAAGAGTTTCTCTCCTTTCCCTCGCCTTTCTATTGGTCTCTTCCTCTCGCATGTTTTTTTAAGCCCAAACCCTGGAAGACTTTGAGATGTTACTGACTTGTTCACCAATATTGGACCCCACATCTCTTATCAACGTTACCCTGCTTCCCGTTATATCGTTTTTATCAGCGTAGTTACAAAAAGTTACTTCCACAAAAAAGTATGTGCAATTCCATCTGTATCAGTGGCAGGCATCTGACACAGGACATACAGACAAGCAAGCAAAACGTAATAATTTTGTTCCTTCTGGATAAACATACAGTAACTATCAAATCTCCCTATAGCCTTCTTTCACTTGATTTCAGTGTAAATGAAGGTACAGGAAGAGTAATGTCCTACAGAGGAGACGGAGAGAAACAGAAAGGCATTTTTACTTCCAAAAAAAGGAGAGAAACCCTGCAGACCACAACGGAAAGGACCAAGTAGAGTTCCCCCCCACATACAGTAGATTCTCATTGTTGCTATTATTATTATTTTTTCTATCATTCATGCAGGATTCCACAGGGTGTACAACTCCGCAAGTCTAAAAAACGAAGCTGTGTTGGGTGCAACAGAAGATTCAAGCTTCAATGTTCTGAAGAAGTAGAAGAGAAGGAGGAAGAAGAAGAAGAAGCAGGAATAGAAGAAGAAATACTGCAGAAAACAGTTAATGGTTTGTTTTTTGTTTCTGAAACCCATCTCCACGCTTTTCTTTTTCTTCTCTCATAGGTCATGGGTTGAGGTTGGTTCAATTGTTTGTTTCTGGGAGGAGGAAACATCCCAAACACACCCATCCTTTCCTCTACATTTTGACCAGGGACTCGTCAACCCCCCCACCCCCGTGCAACAATCCCCAACTCTCCCACCCACGCAGCCTCCTCACCTCACACAGGTGGAGGGCTCATTGTCAGTTTGGTTCTTATTTAAAAACACAGATGATAAAACTCATCAATATTCAACTTGTGGCTGGGAGGGTTGGGTTTGATTCTTTTTGCAGCTAACTTAACTGAAGTTGGCTTTGAGAAGCAAACAAAAACAAAACAGTGGTCGTTCTTTTGTCTCGGACTGTAAAGTGTCTTTTGTCGAGTCGCAACTCTTGACATCTTGTAAGTGGCTGTAGATCGTTGCCGGAGGCAGAATTTAAGACACACACAGACTAGTGTAGTCACCCCGGCTGCTTGCATCCTGCAGTTTGAGGTTGGTCTTATTTGGCATCAACAAATGAATGCTACAACAATGCGAGCAGAACGTGGAGGTGGTGTTCCACTTCTACTGGTCCTGCCTCTGCATTGTTGTTCCACCCCTTCATCCTGACACCTTTCCCTCCACCCAGCCCAGCATCACTGGGACATGCCAAGCAGTGGAGGGGAGAAAAAATTGAACAGGCAAGAAAGAAGGAATCATGGTTTCCCTTGGCAGTCAGAGCTCTCGCTCGGAGCTTCCCGTTTCCATTTTTCCGTCCATCTATCAGTTATTTTTCCTCCGTACGCCCCTCACCCATCCCCAGAGGCTAGCACCAGTCGTCGTCCTCCTTCTCACTGTAGGGTTCATGCAGGCCCTTGCGGGGACCTTTGGGATGCCCGGGTGGAGGGGGGACCTTGTGAGGCCCCGTGTGTGGGGGTCCATGGATATGTTTGGATGGAGATGAAGAGCGGTATCCGTTGGGTAGGCGCCGCTGGACAGCAGGCTGCATCTGGCCCTGCACAGGCCCCGTCAGGGCCGTGGTGGGGGGGGGGTGCATGGCCGACAGTCCTGGGGAGGTGCGACTGGGCTGCTGGTGGGGCGGGGGATGAGGGTGGGGGTTGTTTACTGGGTGGGGCTGGGGTGGAGGCAGTGGATGGGGGTTATGTTGTTGTTGTTGTGGGGGAGGTGGCAGTGGGTGGTTGGCCAGGGCATGAGGTTGAGGGTGGGGGTGCGGGTTGCCACCCTGCATGGGGTTCTGCTCGTAAGCAGGGGGTTCATGGTGGGGGTCATAGTCCTGGTTGTAGAAGCAACCGTCCCCTTCCATGGAGCCCCCTCCTCCATCCGTGTCCCCCCAGCGAGCCGGGGGGTGATGACCCTGGCGGGATATGCCATGGTGGGCTGGAGGGAGGACAGAGGGGGGGGGGGCCCTGGCCTTGAGGAGGTTCGGGAGAAAAGTGCCGAGGGGCAGGAGCGGGGGGGCGGCCCTGGGGCCCCCCAGGTGCTGCGGGCATGGCCTTACGGACCACAGGGGAGTAGGTGACATGGGGCCGGGGGGTTGCGGGGGTCTGAGGCAACTGTCGGCGGCCGCGACGTGGCGTACTGGTCCCCGACGTAGAGGGGACGGGACTTCCACTGACCGAACTACTGCCCTACACGAAAAGTGAAATAAAGCAAATAAAAAGAACGAACCACAAATTCAACGACAGAACATGTAGAGTAAAGAGGATGGGAAAGAGTGGGAAACACATAGAGAGGGAAAGAGAGAATGCAAGATGGAGGCAAAGAGAAAGCAAGAGAAGACAAGAACAAGAATCACAGCAATAATAAAGATACAAGCACCAGTCATAGCGTGCGTGGGATGGAGGAGAGAAATGAAAGGCATCACAAAGGAACGGAGCAAAGCATGTGGACAAAAAAGATGAGATTCCAAACAGCAGCATACATAGAGAAGCAACATGTCAACGCAGAGGAAAGAAAACAAAAGACGACAGGAGAAAAGAAGGGTAAAGGGTTGATTTCAGGAGCAACACATGTGGTACAGGGTAAATACGGTCACTCAACGTGTTAGATTTAAACTGACTGTCAGTGAGCTGTGAGACATGTGTCATGTTCTATATAACAAAGATGCACAAATTGTAATGGGAGGAAAACAATTCTTCCCCAATTAGTCTTTCTTTGCTAGAATAGTCTAACATAAATTGTAACTGCACAGAAGTTTGGTAGATTATAGATACTTTTGTTTTTACATTTCAATAGTAAATGTTACGTGTTATGTGTTTGGAAAAGCATGCTATAAAAGGAAAGGTATTGGGGGGAACATGGGAGAACTTTGGCAGTCTTAAAACATGTAGCAGGGCAGGACGGGGCAGCAGTCAGGTATCCAAATATACATTTCTATGTATATTTGCTGGGTTGCTGGAACAGTGATTTGAAACATTGAACAATTAACTGCATAGTGAACATTTATTGTCTGTCTTTCATTTTACTTACTTGCATTATTATACCCACAAAATGTTTGCATGTCGTCAACACATGTATTTAAATACAAATAATCCACACTTTATTTGTCATTTGAACACAGCTTGAGGTTGATGGCTTCTAACTTGAGGGCAGTAAAGTCCTACAATACCTTCTGACCTTTTTTAGCAGTAGTATTTAGCAAGTATTTCTGCTTGAATAAAAGTAGCAATACCACAGTGAAAAATACTGACCTACAAGTAAATATCTTACTTTTGAAATGACAAACATTACAAGTACTTAAAGAGCAAAATATGGCCCCCTTTCAGGGTGTTCGAATAGTGTGGCCGTCCCACTTGGCTTTCTTCTAGAAACCAAACTAGACACCACATGCACACAACTACCCGGAAGCCCACCTGTCTGTGCGTCAAGCCGTCCCGACCCTCGTGACCCTCACGACCCTCGCTGGGCGATCGAGACCAGCGCCGGTCCCTCTCTCTCTCCCTGTCCTCAAGCTCTCTTTCGCGGGAGTGCCTGTGTCCGTACTCGCCCCCTCGCTCTGCTACATAGCGCTCCTTGTCCACGGAGCCGTGGTGGTGGTGATGGTGGTGGTGGTGCTTACGGTCTTTGGACCGGCCGCGGTCTCTGTCGCGGTCCTTGTCTTTGGACGTGAGGTCCCCGGACTGCGTGGTCGTGCTCAGTTCCGTGCCCAGGCCTGATGAGGGGGTTCATGAGAGTTATTACTGGGTGTGTGGTTAAAAAACACTAGACACTATAGAAGTCAGTTTCACTGTGGTTTTAATCATTGGTTCATATGATAACCTTTGCATTATGACTTTCTGGTTTTCCACTCCCAATGTGCTTCCTGGAGAAGAATGCTAAATCCTATGGTACTAGGTTAAACGTCACTTACAAAAGGATCAGATGAAAGCAAATATTGACTTTTTGTGAGATAGAATAAAAACCTGTAAGCTTCTCTCAGTCTTCATACCCCTGCTTAAGCCCGACTTGTCCCAGGTAATCTGACTCTTAAACACTAGTGATTGAATCTTTACCTTCAATCACGAGTGTGTCTGTGTTTCTTTTATCTTATATCCAATTTGACCTGCTTAGGTAATGGATCCATGACAGCACCATGACATTAGATAACAATACAACATCAGACTTTAGAGTAATGGTTACATAAAAAAACATCTGTGTTAATAAAGCATCTGTCAAACCCTCATTATTGTCTCCTGTATGTGCGGTTGTTTGTGTGGATATGGTCTCCTCCCCACCTGTGTCAGCCTCTGTGTAGCGGCAGAGCGACCTCTCAGAGGCCCGGTGACCCCGGTCTTTTCGCCGGTGTCCATGCCGAGAAGTCCTCTCCTCCTCAGGCACACACTCCATGTTGTAGTCGTCTCCTTTGTCTCTGTGACCCCGGCCGGACCTGCTGTGGCCCAGCGACGAGGCCGAGCGCTTCATGGGACTGCTGTCATTTATGGGCTGGGAGGGAGAGAGAGAGACCGCAGAGGAAGGGGAGGCAAGAGAGAGTGGGAGATGCAGAGAGACGTGATTTCCTTTGATTATCCAGACAGTTTTGCCTGTGATTTATGGGTAACGAGACAGTGTGTGTGTGTTTGAGTGTGAATGGCATATGTTTCTGGAACAATGAAAGCCCACCATCTTCCCCCCATATCCCTTCCCAAGTCATACACTCCCACATTAGTAATAATTAATAATAATCATGCTACTTCAAAAATACAGATTATAAGGCAGGGGTCGGCAAAAAGAGGCCAAGGGGCCAAACTTGGTCCTGCATAACAATTAATTTCCCCTTATAAAATAATCAGCAAATGATCTTGCTGAAAGGAGGTCCAATAACATTTACAGATTCTTAACTATTAAAATCACATTTTTCATATAGAAAATAAAGTCAAACCTTTAGTTTATCAGCTAACACCAGTAGTTGATACAGTAGATATATTGATTTATACAAAAAAATGTAACTTTGATCTTGACTTTATTCTTACCATTTTGACTTAATTGTCTTTTTATACATTAAATGTTTCTGGCATTAAAGTGGACCTATTATTGGAAAAATATATTGTGATGTTTTTTGCATAAAATACCAAAGAGATCACCCATTGTAGCCATGCCTCATACTGCTCATACCCCTCTTTTGCAGCCCTGTTAGAGAAACACGGATTTTGGGTCCTTAGCTTAAAAAAAAAAAAAGAGGAGGCGGAGCTAATGCCTGATCAGAATTCTACCAGAGATAAAGTTAAATTATGCTGTGATAAAACGCCATCCTGTTTAAAGCACGTCAAGGATTATTTCTGAAACAGTATGGAGCTCAAATGCTTTGTCTTGCGGGTTTATCACAAGGTGAGTTCCTTTTTTTATTTCCTGCTTTTTAAACACATGTGCTCTACAGTACAGGTTAGCTCTGAGTGTTAGCGAGGCTTGCTAATGTAAACAAAGACGAGATTACGTCCAAAACACGTCAGGCATTGTTTCTGATAGCAACTTTATGTGGGTCCGCTGCCGATTTGACGTCAGATCGGCAGCAAATCTGTATCCGCTCGTTTTACCCCCATTTTTAAAAGATTTGGGTAAGGAGGAAAAGAGAAAGGGTTTTATTTTCTGACGCTTCGTGAGTTCCCCGACGCACCGGGGACACATATTTATGTATAAAAGATATCAAAAAGTGCATTTAGCATGATAGGTCCCCTTTAATACTGAAACTTAGACATGTTTTTCACAACTGTGACTTGAGTCCCAACATTACATCTTTATCTCGAGATTATAAGGAAAAACCTATTTTTTTCTTCAGTTTTGACTACTCTTTATTCGTTTATTCTTTCACAAAATCCCCCCCACTGGCACGTGTCTCGACAGTGATAGCTAGCCCCATTAACTGGCTAAGGGCTGAAACCACAGGCATTGCCGACCCCCTGGTACACATGAATAAAAAAGAATACAAGAAAAAAGATTAACAAGAAATAAAGGAAGAGAGATGATGGCAAACAGCCATGCCTTCCATGCTTCTGTAAGTTGCTTTGTAAAAGAAAAAAAAGAAGATAGAAATGTCAGTACGGCTTGCATCGGTCCTCCGTCATCGCTTATAATGGAACATTCCAGGCTGCACAAAACTCTTCCCTCCAGCCATGCAGGTACATAGGGGTTGTCCTGAGTCCTCTCCCCACATGAGACCCTCTTTATGCAGAGTGAGGCCTCATGCTCTGAGGCGGGACAGCAGGACAGAGCCTATGGCGCCACACGTTGAGCATGTAAACCACATCAGGCTACTTCAGTGCTAGATCCTTTTGGCAGTGAGATGGCCAGTTTTCCAGTTGATGTGTATTAGACAAATCAGCTGACATGTTAGAAGATGTATAAAAAACACCTGATCTCATAGGAGTAGCACTGAGAATCCCAACAACAAACCCATTCAAACGCACACATACCCTTTGTCTTTCGGTCTCCTCGTACACTCCACACATTTCAACAAATATCTTGCATGCGGGAATGAATGGAGACTCGTACACGGATTGGGAAACATTAAGACACATATAGACGAGCACACAGGCATGAGGACAGAGAGCAACAAAGCACTAGCAGCAGCAGCTAAGAGAGAGAGACAGGGACACAGAGGCCACGGGACAGTGTGTCCGTCCGGACTGTTGATAATGACATGTGACGTGCGGGGTTTAGCCCATTTCCAAACCCAAAGGTGCATGGGAGAAGTCGCTAAGGATGCTGGGATCACTTTGAAAGCTGGGCTGGAATCAGATTAGGTCATGCCAAAAAATGGTTGTCCAAATATATTTGAAAGAGACACCATGGAGACATGACAAATGAGAGGGTAAAAAAAGGAATTCCAAGAGTGTGTGAGAGTCAAAGACAGAGAGAGAAAAGAGGAAGAGGGACGAGACAGGGAAGACAGGGTACATACACTGAGGTTACTGCCACGTTGTCTCCCTTTCCTCCGCTGCTGTATGAGCACAGAGAAGACACACACACACGCACACACACAGAGCCACAAGTACACCCAAGGTTTGGTCACACACAGCATTGAGAAAGAGAAATAAAAGGAGACAGGGATGGATAGGCGATGACAGAGAAAAGGGGAACAGTGGAGCAAGGAGCAGAAACAGAAGAGTGTCGAACCCAAAAAGTGATGCCACGTGGAGAGAGGAAAGAAAAAAGACAAGAAAGAGAAGGAGGGACGGAGAAAGACAGTATGATTAGACACTGAAGCAGCAGTGAAGGTGGAAGAGAAACACTTACCACAGAGACTGGGGGAGGTTGGAGCCAAAACAGGGTTATATAGACATGTTCACCATGAAAATGCTCCATCAACGGCAACACGGTCACAACAGCAATGAGGACAATCAGCGAAATACACACACAAATGGATTTGCATACACACACAAGTATAGTCAACAGCGGACAACCGTTTCAGGGCACAGAGAACAGTGAGAGCAGAAGAAAAACTGATACAACACACACACACATCTGTAACACATGCTGGTTCAAGTCCTGGTTCAAAATAAATACAAATAACCCCAACATTCAAAAAATATTTAAGAAAAAACTGTAATAGAAGAAGCAAACAGTTTAGATTGAAAACAACAACAAAAAGATAAATAAATCAGCGTCTTGACAAAAAAAAGGGCCGTCAGAGAGGTGTGTAAACTGCATGTATGTGTGTGCACATTTGTATTTATCAATTTTTTGTGCGCATATGACAACCAGAGCACTCACCGGGGAATGGAACAATATGGAATGGATGAGTGTTAGATGGAAACGAGACAACCAGGGTTGAAAAACCTCCATGCACGTGTCAGGATGAGAGGAAGAGGAGACGACAACAAGAGGAGCAGAAGGTCTCACTTTGCCTTGTTGTGGTCCTTTTGAATTCAGGTTTGGTAGGGAGAGCAACATTTCAGCAAAACATTTCCATGTTTTAGCTAGAAATATTGTCGCGATAGCTAGTTCAATGGTAGTCACGTTACGGGTCGTTTAGAGGAAATAAATGTGACCTTTGCCCTTTACCACAACAGTAGCAATAGGAATTGGTCCACCAGTATGAATCTTTTAGACCCTGTGCCAAACTGTCTCCAACATGGATTCAAGTAACCACAGCAATACGTTTTACACCAACAAATCAGACCTTTGAGATTATGATGTTTTCAAACCGAAATGAGATGAAGAAACAGAGGTAATGTGGGACTGAAAGGGGAGTGGAAGGATGAGAATGCTGCTCACTTGGTTGTCGCCTGGGAGGCGGGGCATGGAAGCGGCCCTGCCATGGCCTTCCATTGGTGGAAAGTGCTCAGTATCCGAGTAACCATCCTGCCCCATCTCTCTCATCTCTACCGTCTGAAAACAGAGCAGGAGAGCAGGAGATGGTGTGACGGCTGACATGAAAACTGACAGGGAGTAGGGGGATATGCTGGAAGGTTTGTTATCCAAAGAAAGCAGAGAATGGAGGGTCTCTCAGAGAGGTCAACGGAGTGTGTGTGAGTGTGAGGAAGGACTTTGCCATTTTGTTTTCTTCTGTTTGTTGTTTTAGTTTTAACATATGCTAGGAATACAAAAGGAATTGAGTTTGGGTCTTGAGATTAAACTTGGACAATAGTAACATAAGAATCAGATTTTGTGTTTGCAAAGGCTGCTGTCAAAATGGATCATCAAGCCAGTGCAAATATTCTAAAAATATGTACATTTCCAGACAGTTTACAAATGTAAATCCAGCTTGTTGTCTCAGTTACTACCCTGCACATTTCTCTCTGCAAATATGCCAAATGATACACATGAATGGAACTGTTTAAAACAGATGTGTCACACTGTTTCAATCATGAACTGAGAGGTAGTGCTAGCTATTCCATATATTCAGTCATTAAAAAATACTAGATAAAACATTAAATCAAATAATAAACTACAAAAAAATGCTTAACAGCTGACTACATTTAAAGGTGGGGTAGGTAAGATAAGATAAGAGATAAGATAAGATAAGACTTTATTCATCCCGAAGGAAATTGTTGTGCCAGAGTAACAAAATACAATAAACACAAAGGTAAGTTTGAGAAACCGGCTCGAGATACACTTTGTGTTATATTCCATGGAATGCTCTTAACATCCCGATAGCAATGAATATCTGAAGTGCTTTGACAAAAAATCCATAAAAAAATGTCATCTCTGGAAGCCGTGGCGCTGTAAAAAGCACGACCAATCATCTGAGCCGGCCCGGCTAAAGTAACTGGATGGCCTACCTGCCTGTCAGCCTTCCATCTGTGCACAAACTTATCTCGTGCCCTCATTGGTCATGTGCGCGTTCGTGTGTGTTGGAGGAGGGGCTCTGTAAGGAAGTAGCAGATTTCTTCCGGTTGTGTATTTTCAAATTCTAGCGCACTCGAGCTGGTTTCTCCAAAATTACCTACCCCACCTTTAAGTGCTAGTGTTTTACCATAGAAGGCATTTGTTTTCTAATATCTCCGGTTTTCTGTGCTTTATGACTCCATTTGTCCGCTTTCACTGTAGGTTATCAATCAAACTAGTTTGAAATAAAGCCGACAGCGACTCTCTTCTATCAAACTCCTGAGTTTAAACCTCTCCAGACCTCTGTTGATTGATATGAAGAAGAGGTTATGTCACAGGCCTGACTGATACATAGTCAGGCCCTCCAGGAGGTCTACAAGCAGAGAGGTTTAACAGAATGATGACGGAGAGATGAACCGCTCTGAGGACAGAGGATAAACTCTCAATGACATGTGGAAATGTACGGCGAAGGAAAGATTCAGTCAGATAAAAAATGTGTAAAGAGACAGGTTGAGAGATGGAAATAACTAAAAGAAGGTTCAACAACATGTCAATGCTAACTGACAAATCTCAAGGAGGGAAAATGGCCTGCTCAAAAGGAACAATAAGGCAACAAAGCAGTAGAGATGGGACAGTATGAGCTTTGAGCTTCTGTATTTTGTGCCAAATAGGCTTTGATTAAATAGGAGAACATATAGTACAAGAATGTGGCTTATCTTCCCGACTACTGACAAGATCGCCTCAACCTTAAGCATGAGTTCATATTGCTGATACTGATTTGGTTGGAGTGTAGACCATGAAACCAGAAGCAAGTCCTGTTAAACAAAACATTGCTGTACTTCTAATTGAGGGTTCAGAAGGTAACATTTGAGAAACCAGCATGAGTACGCTAGATTTTTAAATGGTCTGCAAAAACAGCAGCACTAGCTCGAAAAGTTATCAAATCTAGCAAGAAAGTCACCAAGTTGGCAGAAGCCCGTCCCTTAGGTTTCACTCTAAAGCTCGTTCCCAACATTATAATTATAAAATTAAACATATGATGGTAAAAGCTCAGTGAGGAACATGGCTATTTTCAGCACTCACCTCTGTAGTTTGTGGAAGACTGGTGACGCATGTGAACAAATGCAATGATTGGACAGACTTATAACAGTCCTGCGACCAAACCTGGTGTCGTTATATAATTCATGTAATGCACAGGGGTTATGGATAAAGGGGGGACTGCTTTAATGGAGATGGAATTTGAATCTGTAACTCCATAATGATCAAAGTTCATTTTACCATTAAAGTGTCCTCAATGGTTCTTTGGGGGTTCATTTGTTAGCAATGACATGAAAGTAAAACAAATGTTGAATGGGAGTTGAGTGTTTGAGTCCACACAAACTTGGTGTGTGACAAAGATGTGTTTTATTTGTATAGTGTGTGTGTGTGTGTGTGTGTGTGTGTGTGTGTGTGTGTGTGTGTGTGTGTGTGTGTGTGTGTGTGTGTGTGGTCCTGGGGGTGTGGTCCTGGGGGTGTGCCTGTATGAGCTTCTACCTGAGAGTTGCTCATGCTCCCCAGGCTGTCCTCAGGGTGTCCCTCAGGGCTCCAGCTGCCGGCTTTTTGGGACATCTCCTGAGCACGAGCCGTCACCCACGATTGGCTCGCCGGGATCCCCCCCTGTACCGTCCTATGACACACACAAACGTACCATCACACACATATCTTTCTGAAAGGAATATCTGACCCATAAAATAATGATTTGTATATCAATGGCTCACCCCCGTGTTACCTTAAAAACGTTTTCTTGCGTGCCTCCATGGTGAACGATAAATACAAAAACTATATTGGAACATCAGTTAAAACATTCTGGGATATCTCATGAAGTTTAGATTTACTTGAAGTTATCAAAAAATACGTGTTTGGAATATTTGATCCCCATGGAGGGTGTGAGAAAAGTTGTATCCAATACTTCAAGGTAAGAGGGGCTAAATAATTTGAGATACAATCGTCATTTTGCAGGTGAAATATTCCTAGATTTCTACAAACCACCTCCGGTAAAGCAACCACGACAACCGGCGTCACACTCACAGGCCGTTGACCGTCTCTGTCGTCTCAGGTGGAGGAAGGGCGTTGTTCAGTCCCGTACCCCCATCCTGGCCTGGGGAAGGTGGCTCCACGCGCTGAAACAGTAATGGCGTTCGATTCTGTGTGAGATATACAACATGGCCGTCGCCAGCTATCAGGCAGACTGACAGGGAAATGGAGGGAGAAGGAGCAGAGCAGGAACAGAGGGCATGTAGAGAGGGGGCTGTCGGCTGAAGCAAGGCCAGGCAAAAGAGGTTATCGAGGAGGAATAAATGGGGAGCTGCCCAGCAGCTAACAAGAGAAAGAGGTGGGTCGACTAGGAGTGCATTCTGGGACCTGGCAACCCTTTGAGCAACCAGGTAGAGGACTTTAAGAAGTCCAATAAGGAAGCAGAATTCACCCACTCAGGCTAGATCTCAGGATAGGATCAAACTGAATTATCAGTAATCATTTAGTGTTTCATCTTATGATCAGTTGTCATAAGATGATTGATACTAAACATTTAAAAATACATTTCCCTTATTTTATAGCAGGGAAAGTCGAATTGATACCGACATGAAGGGGAGTAATAGAAGAGGAGCCTCTTTCAAAATAGGGATGGAGAACATCATGACAGATCAACAAGTCAACAATCCTGTGAAGGGGAACATACAGCAGGTGAAATGCATGATGGGACATACATACGTTGTCATTCATGTATTTATCATTGACTAAAGAAGTTCCAAAGTGCTGCCTAATTACCAGCGCTCAAAACGTCAGATTGGTCCTGGAGCTGTTACACATGCAAGTTAAAAAAATCCTCAAATGTGATTTAAAAATGTTTTTTCTACCTTAATTTAAATCCACACTATGGCAAACCTTCCATCTATGATTGCAAACACTAAATACAATATGATTTACAGCAGGTAAAATAAACCTTTAAATAGTTATGTGATGTCTGCACTTATTCAATGTTTTGGACGAGGAAACACTGCAGAGGTTTAGCACTGTGTGTTGCTACAACATATGCTAGCTATGTGTTTAGGGAGAGAAGGGGTAAAGGAGCCCGAAAAAGGGGCCAAAGAGGGTTTGCTGATGTTTGAGAGATGACAAACATATCCTTACACGTGCAATGAAATATCAGGTTGCTGAGGAGCATTACATTTCAGTTCTAATGAGACATCATCTTCTGATCCAAGATGCGGGTAGGAGGATGCAGCAACATCATAATGCAAATCGAACAGTCAAAGGTTACAAGCATTGGGGATAGGGAGTGAGGAGGTACCATAACTTTTTCAAGCATCAAACCAGGAGAGAATCAGGCTCAGGATAGAGGAGCTTCAATAAAGGCTCCCATGGTGCTTCAGGCACAGGCACCTCGGGGGCTGTGACAACACTGGAGTCTGGGTAAACCAATTCATCGATTTTTCTTATAAAAAATGTGTGATAACTGCAAAACCCTGGCTTTTGCATTTGACATTTTGTGAAGAATATACCTAAATAATGCACTAAATGTTGCCAAAGCTTAAAAGCAAGAAGTACCACAACTTGCCCAACAGATGGCAGCACTGTTTTGGCTGTTGGATAAAAAGCTATAGGTGATTTCATAAGATTGGTGACTGAATAACGACTCCTCCCTGGATGGAGGTTGTCACAGCCCAGGCTTACATGAATGGGACTACAGCCCTGCAGCTTTGATTTCAGTACGTCAGTCTGCCTTTGACTTTAAAGGGTCGGATGCAGGTGGAGTGCTTTTGCTCGTTGAGACAGTAGTACCTGCTCATCACGAAGAGCCTGGGAGCGCTTGATCTTGCTCTGCCGGTAGTACTCCATGATCATCATGGCAGCATAGATTTTCCCAACTGTCAGGTCTGTGGCTGCTGAGAGAATGACAAGTTACCCTGCGAGATTAGACCTTTGGTATGGACCCTGATCGCAAGGAATGGCAGAAAGGGGGTGAGGCATGCACACAAAACAGAGTACATTTCACACACACAACATTGAGCGAATAGTCTTTTCACAGACAGATTTTTTTTTTAACTCTATTGTATAATATATAAATAAAATTGTGTAATCAAGCACATTATTTTGATATAGGTCAAACAAATCCAGTCGCTCCGGGTAACTATAACCATGTGATCACAAGAATCAACATAAAAAAATAAAGTAAATCAAAATAAAATTTGGTGATATTTACACTATAAATGACTCATTTGAACATGGTTGCAAATGTAATGCCAAATACACAATACATTTTGAGAGCAAATCTCATGCATGTCACAAACTAAAGCAACCGCTGTGTCATGCAACTAGTGCGTTAGCACATGTGCATTTGTGTAAGAAACACTGAAAAAGTATCAAGCACCGCCAGCCTGGCGCACACAGCTGACCGCCCCTGAAGTGAAAAGACGTCTATAGAGAGTTGATCTATAGTGAGGCACCCTCTGATCTCAGGCACAGAGAGGGGGAGAGTTGTGGGGGTCTGACAGGGATGGAGGGGTCTGTTCATGTTAGTGTGGTGTCTGTAGCTGAAGGAAAATATAGGAAATGGCTGCAATCACACCAAATAAGGCATTGGTCATCATACGGCAGTTTGCAATCTAAATGACCCATTTGTGTGTAGTCAAGTTGTATCCCCCAAGCAGCAGAAGGAGACTTTATATTTCATCGTACATTTTTTTTGTCAGAGCAATTTTATAATCTTGACAACAACGGCACTTGAAGGCAACTTAATTCATTTCACAGCGTAACAAGAGTCACAGGGATTTTGCCCTTCAAGAAACATAATATGCCATTTCCCATACAATTTGAGATGATACACAAAACTAGGGAAGTGATACCTTTATTTTCTTTATTTAAGTTGTATTTGGCAATCCATGGCAATAAGTGACAGATACGTTTACTGTACTCGCTCAGTGACAGGCTGTTTAATGTATTGGCCGTTTAAACTTTCCTATTGCTGTTTTTTTTGTTTTCTTAATAAAAAAAATCCCTGGTTGAGAGAATAGGAGGACTGGTGTTTTTTGTAGCACCGCGTTATTAGTTGTGAATGCAGCCTTGGTGTTGTGTGTGAAGTAGTTCTGCGTCCAGCCTGTGCTTTGTACGTTAGTAAGATTGTTAGCTCCTGTTTGTTGGTATTCATGTTCACTTAACTATGTCTTCCTAGATCTCAGGTTTATGGGTGGGGATGTGTGGGGTTATGTGCCGGCTGTATCAGAGGGTGCAGCAGTGAGAGAGACTGACTGAGAGAAGCGGTCCTCAGGTGGCGTGAAGAGAATAATCGTTGGAGCACTGGGCGGCACAGGGTGGCTGCATCCATGCCACATTGCTGCGCCTGCACAACACTCTGCAACTTACACTTGTGCGGCGTAACCAGCAAATCTAGAGTCTTCTGCGAGAGGTTGGGCCAGATCGCCATCATCTCTTTCCTCAGCTCGGCGTCCATCTGGTGCTTGTCAACCCCACCTAGGCAGAGTTCAACAAACATGCAACAACACATACAAACGCACATATATACACAGACGAGCCCAAGTACACACAGTAGAAATTGGGACAGAAAAAAAGTTTATGCATTCACACACAAACCATTCATACACAACCAGATTGACACAAAAAGGTATAAGAGAGGACATACAAACGTGAAAACAAAAACAACATATTTGTATTAGTAAGGTCATGGCAACCCCTATGCATTTTTTTTCTAGTATAGTAATGATTTAATCAGAGGTCATTCTATTTTTTATGAAAAAACCTCGATTCCACCCTCATCAAGATATATATATACAGTATAAGCCGCCATTAAAATCACACTGTACTTAAGATACAGGAGGTGAAGCTTCAGGAAGGTTTCTGGGTTCGATGCTGCACTTTGGGGGGAAATAAGATAAAAGGAGAAGAAATCATGTGGAAATTGAAGTAGAAGGAGTTAAGAGGGACTCCAAACCTTCTGCGCCCTTGGCGATCTTGATGTCCAGTGCCGTGCGGATCAAGGCCATGAGAGTGGAGTTGAAGTGGACCGTGTTGTCATCGGCAACAGGCAGATCCATACGGAGCAGTCTCTGTGGGAGAGCCAATCAGGGCGAGTGGTGAGAAAATGGGGAAGTAAGCGGGTCGGCGTGTTTGTGGAACCTCCAGGTGTAAAGGGGAGGGGAGGGGTCGTGGTAAAGGAGGGTTGAAGGAGCTTTGCATAGCATCTGTAGCAAGCTCTGACTCAGTGTCCAATTAGGTCTATTTGATATTCAGTGCATCTGCGACATCAATTCACATTTAGGAAATTCACAGTATTCAATCTGTTTTGTCGTATGGACGAACCTGTGAGTGCTAAGATGATTAATAAAGATGTTTTTTTTCAAGATTGGTTCCTTGACTCATGTATTTCGTAACTGGTCTTCGAAGTCAATTTGTTGACAATCACAAGTCCTCACAGGTTGGTTAAACAGGTGATGTTGAGCCTTCAATGAGGATACAGGACAGCCTGAGCAGCAGCTACTAACATCCAGAGCTCCTCCTGGGGGTTTGGAGGTTCACAGTGAAAACAACAGAGACCTAATGACAAACCATTAAACCAAAAACAACCAAGGGGCCGATCTAAGAAGGAACACACTTTGTTTTTCGTTTATTGGTTTGATTTTGTATAGGTCTTGTTGGTTCATCATTTATAACACAGACACACAGCAAGTCACAGATGACAGATTGACGTTCGGGTGTTTGGTGACAGAAGACGGCGACATCCCAACATGCAGCTTATCATGCCTGCCCCCACACCCAGATGTAATGCCTTTCCTTTAATCCATCCATCAAAACTCTATCCCCCAAACCTTTCTTGCATATCCCACCCTCATGCGGCATGCGATGCATACACAATATGCCTCTCAGGACAAGCAGCTGCACAGCCGTACACAGAAAGCATCCTCTGTTGGCGACATTAAAATGAGTTGTTTTAAAGTGGCTAGTTATTGTAGGGAATAAGAACATCTGTAGACGATGGGCTAACCTGAAATAATAGAGCATCTCGCTCTATTGCTAATTATCTGATGTCTAAAATGTGAAAAATGGGCACAGACTTGGAGGGTTAATAGGTGAGAGAGAGCAGCATTCTGTGGAAACAGAAAGAAGAAGAAACAAAAGAAATGGCCACCATGGAAGTGGTGTTTTGGTGCTAAAATGCAGGTGATTGTTCAGGTGAACATAGTCCAGGTATATGAGGTGAAAGGAAATATGGCTTCTGCCAGAAAATAGATTTTAAAAGAGTTGAAAGGGACAGCTTAAGGGAAAGAGATGATAGAGAAATAAAAATCAATAGGTTAATAGGTTAAGAGCTGGAGCGTGTAAAGAGGAAAATGTGACCAAAAGAGACAAGAGCAAAAACGATGTAAAGGAAAAAAAGAAAGAAACATCACCACACTTAGATGGCTGTGTCTCTACGAAAGCGGTCCTGCCTGAAGGCCCTGCGTGTCTCTTCAGGACAGAGAAGACTGAAGGTTAAGAGCAGTGGAGCGGATGGGTCATTGTTCTGTGGACTGGGGGGAAGGTCAAAGGTAAGGTTTGGATTTCTCTCATTGGCTCAGGGAAAGTTGAACGGGAAATAAGAAATCAACACAAAGATGGCAATTAGGGTTAGATCAGGGAAGCCAAAACCATGCATGTAGAGCATGTTGGGTGAGGGGAGTAGGGGTCTACGTTTAAGTTCAGGGAGGAGGCTTTTAGGGAGAATAGTTGGTCAAATAAAAAAGAGGAGAAGAAGAAAGCATCTAATGTAAGGCTGGGGTAATCAAATCAAAACATGAGAAAGAGACAGAGATAGAGGTGCGAAAACCTGGAGCAAATAATATAATTCAAACCTCAGGTGAATGTTTTCCCTTTGAGTGTAATCAAGTGGAGACGGATAATTATTTTTAGTACAATTACACACTGTAAATACATGGTAGTGGCTGAATAATCGGGTAGATTAATGCCATTTAGATTTTATATACTATTTCACTGTTATTAATTAAATTAAAATCATATTTTTTTTTTGTTTAGTTACCTGTGGACATTTCTTTCGATCATAGAAGTGTCCTTATACATACAAATATGCAATGTTCGGCCACTAGGGGGCTCTCATCTCAGCAATAATTACGGTGTAGCCCCTGATAACAATGTCTTCATGGTTCAGCAATAAGACTATTTTTTAACAATTGATCTGCTCCTCTCCAAAACAAAATGGGTAAAGCTAGAAAAAAAACACTAAACAATTTCTACTTGATCAAGTAAATGTTAAAAATGGTAATTGGTAATAAATATTGACCACCTTCTAAATATCGGCATTGGCCATTTAAATACTGGAAACCACCTCATGAAAATACTCATATCTAAGCTCCATTCATTTTAAATGTCATATAATGTCAGTACTATTTGCCCCAGGCCTGCAGGAGTAGAAGGGAGGTGGATAAAGCGATGGACGCGATGGAGTGATCTCCTGTGCCTACAGGCTGTTTGGCCGGCTGCCCTCCCCGAGGCTCACAGTGATCTGCCAATGATGCTTCATGAGACACATTGATCACAAGAGGTGTAACAGGAACATGTGGTACCATGAAGGCAAATGTGTTGTTATATTTCTGTATATTTCTATATTTCTGGTGACAATTGATGTCAGATTAATTGTGTCAGAGCTGATTATATGACAGACGGGGGTTTGTGCATTAGGTTGGTGGTTATCGGCCATGCAGAAGGCAGGTGAGGGAGTGTATATGTGTGGGGAGGGGAGCAATATGCAGAGATGAGGGGGGCTGGAAACAGAATAGAACTGCATTGACGACAGAACCAAAGGACAAAGAGAAGATTGGACTTGCAGATAGAAAAAGAACTGCTTGGGGGCTTGGAGCTGCTACATGAAGGGTGACAGAACAAGAACTGCTTCTGTATGGCAACCAAAGGCTCTCTGAGGGAAACACATCACTGAGACAAGCCCTTCTGCTCTCTCTACCATTAGGGATAAGAGAAAATATCTGTGTGTAGGTGGATATGACTTCAATCTGTGTGTGTGTGCATGTGTGCGTGGTTGTCTGCCACATCCACAGGACGGAACGAGTCAGAGGACGTAAGTCTAGCGGACCTTCCAAGCCCTGCTGCACACGCATGTTTCTGTGTGTGTGTGTGTGTATTCATGTGTGAAATGTCTAACTATTTCATATCTCAACTGTTAAAATAACTGCATTCATACATTAGCTTGTTACTATCACTTTACCTGAAGAATAATGACACTATTTCAAAAAATGTGCATGTTTGTGTAAATGTGTCGTACACGGTGCAAACGAGCTGAGAAGGTCCCTCTTTTCGTCCCCTCCTGTGGATACACACCCCCCCCCCACCCCACCCCAGCTTAACCCCTAACCCCATCTTGCTACCTCCTCCCACCAATCCCACACCACCACACAACGCCACAACACCGACCAGCCCACCCCCACTTTCCACGAAAAGAAACAGAAACAGAACTGAAGAAAACAACGACACTAAAGGTTACACCACGTTGAGCGCTTGAATCCCTGGCACCCTCCCCTTTCTGGACCCCCCCCCCCCCCCAAAATAACACCCATAGGAGACTGGGGGTGAAGATGGGGCCCTTTCTGACCTTGTAGGCCACCCGTGCTGGACACCTCTTCCCGAGGCCTAGTGGAGGACACATTTGCCTCAGCATGTCATACATTTCCCTGCAACTGATCCTGCCACTGCATCATCAGCCATCACCCCGTTAACAAGAGCACAAAGAAAAGGAGAGATGGAGATATTTAGAAAAGAGAGAAGAGGAGAGAAATAAGATGCAGCGAGAGATTGAGGAGTGATTTGAGGACAGAGTTGAAAAGGAGGAGGCGCAGAGTCAGAGATAAAGAGAGAGAATTAGAGGAAGACCAAGTAAAATAAATAAACAACAGAAAGACACGGTTATTGGGCTGATTTGGAGCGACTGTGGCTGTGTGGCTTCTGTGTGAGCTACTCCGAGGGAGTAAAGGTCAGAGGGAAGGGAAACAACAGGAGGATTGGAATTTGAGAAGTAAATGTAGGTATCAGAAGACAACTCTGTGTAAGCAGGACAAAGGCATATATATGTGTGTGTGTGTGTGTGTGCTGCTGCTCGGACCAGGAGAGAGGGGAGGAGGAGGAAGGGGTGTCAATGCAGTTTCTGTCTTTCCCCAAACCCCCAAAAAACCAAGAACAATGCAACACTACAGTGAGCAACCGTAACTTGCTACATTATAGCCATGGCTCCAAGCAAAAAGAAAATAATAATCAAAAAATAATATATACAAAAGAAAGATTTGTTTTCAAATGTGCTAAAAAGGTGGATTTGTTTTTTGGTGCATTCCACATGCGTCTCTGGGTGTCTGCATTGTCCCGCACATTCTCTCAGCAATTCAGAATGCAAGTCGATAATGGTGGAAAATAAGGTTTAAATTGAAATGATAAGAAAAAATAAAGCGGCATTCACTCCATTCCTGGATGCTGTGGCTAGCAAGTGTGGTTGAGAGATTTTGTTTTAATAGAAGTCAAACCTTGCAGGCCACCCTATGGGGGCATTTCTTTCCTAAGCCGAGAGGCGGGTCGATAACTCGCAATAAACTGTACATGTCCTTATAATGAATGCGCCCGCTGCAAGAAGAATACAGGGGAGTTAAGAAACACACGCACAGGAAAAAAAAAACACACAGACAGCGAGAAAGAAGACAGAACATTAGGAGGAAGAGCACAAGAGTGACAAGAACACAGTATCTGGAAATACTTTACAACACGTTTACTGTAAATGACTGACTTCTGCACCTGCATGCTCCTCCAGTTACCAACTCTACACACTATCCGTTTTCCACTTTATGCCACCATTTGTTAAATGTGTTTTTTTAGCCTCAATGTTTTACAACTGACAAATAATCAAATCAGGTTTTATTTGTAAAGCACATTTTAAAAACGATGTAGTCCTAAGTCCTAAACATGGCTGCTGCTCTCATTTGTCCACATGCACATTTTGTACACCAACATGTTTTTGTTGGACATTGCATTGTACTTTGTTTCCTATCTGGCACGTGTGACTTAACAGTTCATCGTGGTTTCTTTCAGCGACTTCATTTGATGCTGTCTGATAGGGTTAAACAAAGTCATCTGAGTATTTATTTGCACATCGGCTGGCAATGAATAGCTTTAAAGCAAGTTGATTCAGGATATTTAACTTTTTCAATAATATACTTTTCGAATCTTTGGGATTTGGGGAAGTTATGAAGAATTACAAGCCAAAAGGCACACGTTGTTGTTGTTGTTGTTGTTGTTGTTGTTGTTGTTGTTGTTGTTAAAGAACAGTTTGAGTGTTCTTGAATTTGTCATTTGTCAAAGTCATCACATTTGTAACTCCAGCCTGACATGAGTACATTATATGACTCAAGGTCATTTTTCCATCTGCCTCCTTTATTCTGTTTCTCTCTCTCTTACTCCTCGTCCTCAGTTCGACCGCCCTTGCTTTAGTCCCTCCAGTCAAACCCCTGTCTAGATGTGTGCACAATGTAATTAAAGATTTGCAAACAGAGTAGAAAAGCATGTCCTTGGTTACCAGCTAAACGCTTAATAGCTGCTTGTGGTGTGTAGATCTCCTCCCTCTTAATATTATGTGTTTAATGTTAAGTATCTTAGTTCCCTGTCTTCTGATTCCTGTGCAGCGTGTCAGATGTAGTACGTTTGGGTTGAAAATAGCATGTTAGTGTCAATGAATAGAACACAAAATGTTATACATTCCTACTAATACTTCTCTTTTCAGACTTTGTAGAGCTGTCTCTGTGCAGGCTACAGGTCGGGGCAACACACAGGCACTGGAATACAGATACCATGAAACGTAGCATGTCTACAGGAGACATTTAGACCACAGAGTTGGACTAGGGAGCTGTGTGTAGACATTGCCACATTGTTTTTTAAACCGTATGCAGATTCCAGGAGTGGTAAAATATTTGGGACGGGGTGGGAGATATTTCAGGAAATATTTACAGAAAAGAAGAAGAGGAGGAGGAGGAGGAGGAGGAGGAGGGAGGGGTTGTACAGCGTGAGAGAGATAACCAGATGCCTGATGAGGTTATGCTCAGATCCGTTACAGCCCACTTGCAGCTCTTTCACTAGAACATTCCTATTAGTTCATACTAGTGGTTTATTCTTTTGTGTGTCTATTCCAGATCATTTCAAACACCTTGTGCTTCAGTCTAACACAATTTAAAAGAAAACACATCTAAACCACTGTTGAAAAGTTACTGATTTATTGTTGCTGATTTTACTGGAGTATATTAAAGCAAACATAAAATAATGTCTGTCTGGTTGGTTTTATCAAACCACTGTAAAGCGTCTTTGAGCACCTGGAAAAGCGCTTTGAAATAAAATGTATTATTATTATTATAAGTACTGTGCTGTTTTATGTCGACAACTGTTGCAAGCACAACCAAAAATATGATGCGTTTATGAAAAAAGCGTTTTTTCTTACTTCTTTAATAATGTTAGAATGAAATGAGTGTAATTTCCATGGACTGCCACAGTTCTGTTGTGTGTGCATATGTGTGTGTATGTGCACCATGAGTGCATGCACGTTCCCACTCACCAGGCAGCAGGGTCATACTCGGCCCATATCCTGACATACTCATCCAGGTGGTGAGGTCCCAGAATGGAGGAATCTCGCGTCAGGTACTCAAAGTTGTCCATGATGACGGCGACAAACAGATTCAGCATCTACACACGAACACACCAGCAGAACGTTCAACATCGCATCTGACGGCTGATAATAATGAATGTTTAAAAAGGAACATGTTGTATATGAAAGGCTTAATGTCAACGAATATGGATTAAAGAAGAATATTTTGTTAGATTAAAATGTGTTGTGAGATCTGTAAATAATTACATTTATTTTCTTTTAATAAATGTTGACTTTTGGACTCTGGACATTTAAAACGTTTGGATCACACACGTCGGTTACAATCACACAGCCACCGATGAAATAGAATTGTATAAATAGTACAATACTAATAATATAAGTTTAGCCTACGCTTTCTGCTACTGTTTTTTTTGTTGTACATTAGTATTTGAACGTCAACATAAAGCCCTAGATGTTACTGTATTTATCTTTATATAAAATCTGATCTATGGGCTTAGAGTCCGTAATTGAGTTGTTTGATGCCTTTAAAATGGTACTACTGGATCATAACACAAGGGACAGATGAGTATGTTGGATTACGTAGTATGTACTCACCAAGAATGAACAGAAGAAGATGAAAGAGACAAAGTAGAGGTAAGCAAACTGGCTGCCACACTCTGGCTCTGGATTTCCTGTCAGGGGGTCGCACTCCTTGCTCCCCAGACACGACAGCATGATCTCATGCCACGCCTCCCCCGTCGCACTCCTAAAAGACACAAAAAAAGGTTCTGTGATTTATGCAAAATGACAGTGAAGTAAAAAGTCTCCCAGGTTTCAGATATTTTTGACAAAAAACTCTTTATTTCTTTATGAGATGCTAAAACTAAACACTGTGTATATGCATATTCACAAAACACACGCACCTGAAGAGCAGCATGAGAGCCATTACGAAGGTCTGGAAGTTGTTGTGCGGGTTGATGGCACTCTCTCCTTCTTCATCAATAGCGATATTCCCAAACAGCTGTTGAGCACACTCATACTGTCAACACTGAAAACCACACTTCTCATTAGTGACCTCTCTGGCTTCGTTTGCGACTAAAGCAGCTCCTAATACGCTAACACGCTAAAACACGCCGCTTCTATAATCCTGATCCTCCTCCTCTCGTTATGCACCGGATCCTTATCATCATTCTCCTTTGGGGCATCCTCCTCCTCCTCTTCATAATCATTATTAACTTTCAAATATATATGTAATGCATCCCCAAAGCAGTACAGACGCTTTTTAGGTTGAGGCTCTCACCCACCTGCATGCCAATGATGGCGTAAATGAAGAACAGCATGGCGATGAGGAGGCAGACATAAGGCAGCGCCTGGGGGGGGGGAGACACATTATCCGTTAGGTGTATGCTTCAAACATAATAGTGCCCTGTGCAAAATATACAAGATTGCACCTAGGCACTGTTCAAGTATATAAAGAAAAGGTTGTATAGGTGTATTTCTGTAAAATGCATGTGATGTGTATGTTTGCTGAGCTGTGTAATTGGGTGTAAACCTTGAAGGACTGAACGAAGGTCCAGAGCAGGATGCGAATGGTTTCTCCCTGCCTCAGCAGCTTGATGAGACGAGCTGCCCTGAACAGCCTCAGGAAACTTAGGTTGATGAAATTATTCTACAGTACAGCCACAACATAAGCAAAGAGAAAGAGAGAAGGAAAGAGGTATAGAGAAAGGGGGTGTGGAAAGAATTAGGATTGAAAGTAAAGAAGAGAAACGTTGAAGAGGAGGGAAGAAGAGAATAGGAAGGATTCGGGGTTGGAATAAAGGGAAAGAGGAGTTAGTTTTGGTGCAAAGTGTGCAAACAATTTTCCTTATACAACCAAACCATAACAAATGAGGAAAAACAGTCAAATCCAAACTGAGGGAGATTCAAACAAATAAAGGAATCAGGAGCCAAACAAGTCAAAGCAAACCAAACTCAAATCAGCAAGGCTCCAACAAGCTTTTTCATATCCATTAAGTTAGACAAAACCAAACAACACAAGGGGAAAGGAAATCATCCAAATCTAACTAGTGTCATCCAATTGGGTTACGTAGTAGTAGTTGTGGCAGGAATGGTGAGTAGTTAAAAGTGCAGGGACATCAGGACGTTTCCTTGGAAAGACAACCAAATGCACTAGTTCTCTCAAGGCAAAATATGCAATATTTCTAAAATGAAGCAAGCCCAGAACATGCAGGTGTGCAAGGCAAACCGGTAAAGCTAAAGGCAGTAGAAAAATCATCCAATAGGAATGGCTGCCGAAGTCATGTGACAACCAGTGGTGATGTCACAGACAAATAAGAGCGAAAGGGTGGTTGAAGGACCAAATCAGGTCAATATATATTCAGTCTCATCAGCATGAGTATGTGCCTTACAAATTGGGATTCTATGTGTCGATTAAACTTAATTTAAACAAAAAATATTACCATTAATTTAAATGAAATGTGTAATGCAGAGTTCTTCAACCATGTATCAGAGTATAGAACAAAGGATGTGCAATAGAGGTGAGTTAAAGTGAGACTTGAAGTGCTAAAAAGGGGCTGGCAGCAGGCACATGCATGCATTATTATATTGCTCAGTGTGTGTGTTTCTGTGTGTGTGTGTTAATAAAGGATTCTTGCCAGAGACATGCGAGGGGCAGCATGCATCACTTGTTCTCTCTGCTCAGGGCAACGCTTCGGATTCACTCTGTCGTTACTGGAAACACTCTCCCAGTCACTGTCATATGTGTGTGTGTGTCTGTGTGTGCGCATACAATAGATAGCTAATCCCGATGCATATATGTAGCAATCTGTTCTATTGTTTTACAATGCTTGCTTTGCAAAATGAACAGTAGATCTAAGCTAGGATTACAATACAAGATATGAATCATACAGCGACTGGTAGAGAGGTTAGAAAACTTGGCAACAAATAAAAACCCTACACATTTTGAGCTCACTCAGAGTTAAAGGTTATTTGTGGTGGGGTTCGAGCAAATCATGCAAAAAGCTATCACATTGGCTGGGATGCAGTTGTAACAGATGCAGTAAAATAAGATCTCCAAAAAATTACAAACCATCTACATGTAGATGTTGCAGACATATGGTTTATAGCAGCACATTTTTTGATTTTTGGTTGGTTCGAAGAACAACCAGAGATTGACCAAGCCGGTTGTCATGGGTGGACACAGAGGATTCATAGTGCATTTTGATTGGATGGAATCGCAGGAAGTAGTAGGTGTTGGGGGGAGAAGGGGGGCGGGGCGAGGTAGATTACAGTAGATCGTCGTTAAGTTTGCGGACGATATAAAGAAAGCATGTAAAAAGATAAAAACAAGAAAGAAATCGACAGTCATTACAGAGACAAGTTAACACAGAAGCAGGTTTTCGCTCTGCAGATTTTACACATTCATATTGCAGGGATACCAAGGATCAAGGCAGCAGGGGATTGTTGGACACAGGTACAGATTCTAAATAGATAAACATGACTGTAAACCAGTATAAAAAACAACCAGTTAGAGCATGTTTACTAGAATCTGGCTGAACCATCAATTTAGGTCTTAAGAGCGCTTGAATCATTGGTATCCCTTGCTTCTTTAGACAGAACTGGTAGGTAACGTTTCCAGATCAAAGAGCTTGTTAATGTCTGTGCAGCGCTTGTAAAATATGTGTGTTCAGACAGAAGAAAAAGCAAATGTCTTATTTGTCATTTCTTATCGCGGGTTATTTGCTCCAAACAGACAATATACCAATAGTTCAGACATTAGCTATAAGCTAGCAAACATGTCCGTTTCACATTTTTGGACATTTAGGATTTTTTTAAAAGCCCAAGAAGTGTGAATCTTTTTGCTTTGGTCAAAAATATTTTTAACACCCACTTGCTTGAATGGAAGTGAATGGGAAATGAGCAGTTATTCGTAGGAGGCAGTGTCTAGTGGGACTATTTGAACTCACATTGAGTTTGTAAGCAATCACACAACATCTAAATACATCACCTCGTGTTTTGTCTGAACACACCTTAAGAATATATTTCGAAAAGGACACTCTTCCTAAAATATGCCCTTTCACATACAGATTAGTACACACAGTACAAGTTGTATGGCCTTGTGCTACCTTGTTTGTGTTTCCATGTGACCTATATATAGCTTTCAGGTGATAAAAGCAAACTCAGGCGGCCAGGCTAAAACAACTGTGATAGTTAATTAAAACTCTCAATACACTAGCGCTCATATTCAACTGATGATGGGTGTCATAACATAATAATGAAACTTATCACCCAAGATAATATGTAAATATCACAGTCAAAGTAATTTAGTGTGCTGTGTAGCAATAATATAACTAACACTAATGTTTTTAATCAGACCAATCCTTTTTTAATTGTTTGTGGACAGTCAAAAGTCCCATAGACCTTCAACACTTCAGCTGTACTATAATGACTAACATATGGCTGATGCAACTGCATTGGCCAGCTTAAGATGCAATCTGATCATTTGATTGGCTGTTACGGTTGCCTGCAGAAGCTGTGCACTGGCTCGCTAGCTTTCCGCCGCGCTGTCAGCTCTGTCTGCAGTCTGGTCTCTCCTCGTCCCACCAACTGGGACATTTATATAAGACTTTCAGGAGTCGTTCATGCATGGCTGAGCAACGCAAGGCTCAACAGTAGCCTCTAACTCCTGCTCTACTTCTCTTGTCTACTGTATGAGTTTTAGATACAGCTGTATAAGCCCTGAAACACACGCTGAAGCTCACCTAACAAACAGTCAAAAGAGATCGACAAAGATTGCTAATAGATATCAATTCTGTCTGTTTGCAGTTTTGAATCAGATCGTTCAAACATTCACATTTAATCAGAAAACGCCCTCTGATCCTGCGACTTACCCCAAGCTCCGTAACCAGGATGTCGGTAACGCTGCCCAGAACTGTGACACAGTCAAAAATATTCCAGGCATCTTTGAAATAATTCTGTGAATAGGAAAAGAGAAAGAGGGATGATGAGGTAGACATAGGGAGGAAGATAAGGGAAATGTAGACATGGATGTAGCAGGGACAGAGAGATCAAATATTGACAAAGAAATGGGCAATGCAAGGAGATGTAGAGTAGACAAAATCATATTGAAATGAAAGGGACAATGATACAATGGGATTCATTTATTACATTAACATGATGCAGACAGAGCATGAGATGTAAAGAACGAGACATGGAGCGAATACAAGTCGGACAGAAAGAGAAGAAGGAGAACAAAAAGGCATGTCAGACAGGAACAGGAAATAAATCAGATAAGACAGATGGACCATCAGTGACGGCATGTTGGGCGGATGCCAGCAGACAAGAACAACTTGTACTGCATCAGCCTCATTACACCTACAGGAATATACAAGTACATCATACAGCAAATACAGTCACATCATTCCCTACAGCTCCCAAAACTCCTAACAAAAAGGCTCCTGTGTATATTTAACTCAATCTGTACCATTATCTACAGATATACATCATTTTACATTTTTTCCCTTTTAACGTAAAGCGACTTTAGGTAAAAAGAAGGATAGTGAGGAATAAATGCTGACGAGGGAGATCTGCTTCTTCTTCTCTCTCCTACATAGCGCCTTCAGCCTAACTGTACATTAGACAAGTGGAGGGACACAGAGAGAGCAAGGGAGGCGGCTATTAAAATAAACCACCTTGACCAACACACACACACACACACACACACACACACACACACACACACACACACACACACACACACACACACACACACACACACACACACACACACACACACACACACACACACACACACACACACACACACACACACACACACACACACACACACACACGTCTCTAAGGCCCGGTGTTGTGTGCTGGATTGTGCATGTTGTGTGTGGTTAAGAATTAAATCCAATCCTATTTAATCTCCACCCTCTCCGTGATTGTAGCTTCTTTTTTTAACGCCTTTCTGTCATTCATTCTCGTTTTTCTAATTACTTTATTAACTTTCGCCCTCTGTCCTGAATCTACTCCCAACATTCATCCTTTAACTATCTCTTCTTTCAATGTTGTACTCATCCACCTCCCTCTCTTTTCTATGCAGCCCACAAAAACTGCAAACTCAACTGCATCACAGTCACCATTTATAAAAAAATGTATTACCTTAAGTTGCTCATTATCTCCCCACAGTTTCTCCTTAAATACATAAGAAATAATCCACGACAGGACAATGTGTCCCAACGTTACTAAATAATATACGGGGCTGCCTCCACGACATGAACCAGAGCTCATCTCATTAAGTTACTTTTTTGCACTTAATTCCCTTTTAGCGCATTGTTTGGCTTTTTAGTCATAAGGGCATATTCAATCTCACTGATCTCAACACAACGGATTGCTTGAGTAGCATACGTATAATATATATTCAACACACACACACACACACACACACACACACACACACACACACACACACACACACACACACACACACACACACACACACACACACACACACACACACACACACACACACACACACACACACACACACACACACACACACACACACACACACACACACACACACACACACACACACACACACACACACACACACACACACACACACACACACACACACACACACACACACACCACACTCACCAGTACTCCAAAGGCGATAATCTTGAGAACACACTCCATGGAGAAGAGCGAGGTAAACACTATGTTCAAGTTGGCTAACACAGCTTCATATGTATCAGAAGCTCCATCATACTGTAAACACACACACACACACACACACACACACACACACACACACACACACACACACACACACACACACACACACACCACCAGGGACAGAAAAAAGAGGATTAAGACACACAGTTTATGAGTCAGCAGTATTCATTAAAAAAAATGTCTCACAGAAAAGGTGCACAGAGCAACATCATGTCTGTACTTGAAAAAAAAAGCATTACAACGAAAGAGAGATGACCCCCCGAAAAGAACGAGTACTTATCCTTATTTTCAATGCTAATGTGTGTGTTGTGAATTTGCAGTTTACCTTCATCATTAGCACGACGGTGTTGAGCGCGATCATTGCCATTATAGTGTATTCAAATGGCGGCGACACCACAAACTCCCACATTCTGTATTGGAAGCTCAGCTTGTTCTTAGGCATGTGGCGTGTCAGAGGTCTGGCGTTGATGGCAAAATCTATACAGGCTCTCTGCAAAAAAACAAATATCAAAAGTGGTTATGTTCTTATCCCGCTCAAATGTTCTCCAGTCCAGTCCACCCTCAAATATTCCTTTCCTCACCTCATTTTTTTCTAAACTATAGTCCTCCATCATCTTATCTCCTTGCTCTTGGAAAGTGATGATGATTAGAGCCACGAATATGTTGACGAAGAAGAAGGGGAAGACCACGAAGTACACCACGTAAAAGATGGACATTTCCATCCGGTACCCCGGGCTCGGGCCCTGGTTCTCATAAGTCGCATCCACTGAATGTTTCAGCACCCTGCGGAGGAAGAGAGGGGAACAGTTTACGGTTATAGGCTGTCGGAAAACATTTAAGCTGCATGTGACTGTCTGTGTTTAATTTAACTCACTGCGGCCACCCCTCTCCGGTAGACACGGTGAAGAGGGTGAGTAGGGCCCAAGCCACGTTGTCGTAGTGGAAATCGTACTTCTTCCACTCCCGCTTCTGCGCCTTCACTTCGTTAACGCCTTCATACACCAGATATTCGCCCCTGAGATATGATTTGAAGATGCAGCGTAAGGAGAAGAAACACTTAAGCATGAAGAGGCCTCAACTCAATAGAAAGAAGGAGACCAGAACGTTTTCACCACTCAGGGTACAGTATAGTTGGGTTTTTCCTGACCTGCAATCGCGCTCAAACTCTTTGGATTCGTCAGTGCAGTAAAAGAAGCGTCCCTTGAACAGCTGCACGGCCACCACAGCAAAGATGAACATGAAGAGTAAGTAGACAATCAGGATGTTGAGCACATTCTTCAGAGAGTTCACCACACAGTCAAAGACAGCCTGGGGACAGAGAAACAAAGAGAACCACAGACGGAGACATGTTGTTTATTGTCTGAAGGTAATGCATTGGATTCATAATATTTCAGTGTTTTGGACTTGTGAATGATGGCATCAGATGGCATTGAAAGGGAGACAAAACCACATGTAAGAAAAGGATAATTAGTAACCCTAACCCTAAAAAAAGAAAGAAACATTTAAGAAAACACTTTGACAAAGACTTAACCGGGAAGAATACAATGACATAATAGTGACTGTGAAATTTGCAGAGCACAAATGCAAGAAAGAACGCAGAAAGAAATCACATTTGCATTGCTTAAACCAGGGGTTCCCAACCTTTCCCACGAGCCCCCCCAAATTACTCCTGTTGGAAGTTGCGCCCGCCCACACACACAAGGGGGGGGGGGGGGGGGGGGGGGGGGGGGGGGGGGGGGGCGCAAAAGCAGTAATTAAAGTTCAAAAGTCTCAAAAATGCTACAACTACTGTCACAAAGTGGATGAATGTGAAGTATTTTGTTAAAGGAGGATGAAAGCGTAATTAAGGAGCACTATTGGAGTGACTTTGATGGTTATTGGACTCAGGATTAATTCATTTGGATTCCCGCTGTATGAAGAAATTAAAGGAAGGCGCGGAAGTGGAAACAATTCACAAAAGGATTAAACTGTTTAAAACACATGCTCAAAGTAAACCGGATTTTGCCGATGTGTTTATGTGGATTCAAAAGTCGTAAATAATCTACAAAATGGAGGAGACAAGGCTTTTAGTGACAATCATGTATTACGTTACAATTATATGTAAAAATTAAAAATAAAAAAATTAAAAAAGTCTAAATATTATATTTGGCCTCAAATCATCTGAGGCCTGGCGCCCCCCCCCCTGCGATCTTTGGCGCGCCCCCCAGGTTGGGAACCACTGGCTTAAACTAAAAAGAAAATGTGTTCAGTCCACTGATAAAGCAGGTAGTGCTGGCAATAAGGCAGCAAAACGAATCTCAACATTTGATTTCAAAGATATTTGATCACAACTTGAAAACCCACACAAGATTGATGCCAAGCCTTTATTTTAATAAGATGTCCCCCATCATTCCAATCCAGTAAGGGAAACTAAGGTCAATTGTTTTCTACGTAAACATACCTTGAGTTTGGGAAGACGTTTGATGGTCTTCAGAGGTCGTAACACTCTCAGCACCCTCAGAGACTTGATGGTGCTGATGTCTTTTCCCTTACTGCTTCCCCTATATGCGTAAACACATGCACACCAACACCCAAACAGATCCGTACACACACACACAGCCACACACACAAATAAAAAGAGTCAGCATGTTCAGGTAGATATGAAAGGCTTTGTTCTCTCGCATCCAAAATGGCAGCGGGCAGCCATTCCTTGATGGTATTTGTGTCCGAGTTAACTCACAATGAGTAACTGCGTCTGGGTTAAATGCATAGCAACACATGCAGCATTGCTATCATATTACGTTTATAGTCTTAAGTGTGAGGTTAGCATTGTTGCTACATGCTAGAGTTAGGTGGTATTTTACGGCTACAGTACATGCTACAGGAACAACTGGTGTCATTCCTGTCTGAATGCTATCTAATATCTACGCTTGTTTTAATACTTTGCAATGTGTTTCAATGCTTTACAAAGACGGCTAAAGCCTCGCCTTGCACATGCCCAGCTAGAGGTGGAATATATTCATGCTGCATTGAAACCTTGCTTTCCATGATGCAATATTTCTCCTTTTAAACAGCACGTTGAGTATTGGAGAACTATATTTGACACAAGAGACATTTACAGAGAGAGTTTGAGGGGAAGGCTATGGCTCAGTGGGTTAGTGCGCTGATCTTCGAATCAGAGGATAGTAAGTTCGAGTCCCACTGCAGTCAGCATGTCGTTGTGTCCCTGGGCAAGACACTTCACCCCAAATTGCTCCTGTGGGGATTGTCCACAGCACTGAATGTATGTAAGTCGCTTTGGATAAAAGCGTCTAACAAGTGACATGTAATGTAATGAGAGCCAGGTTACTAAAGGAAGCCTTTCTGAAGTGTTAACTCAAGAGTAAAATCCTTTCCTTTTAACTTAATGACAGCTGACAAATTATTTCTGTAGTTATATAAGAAAGTTTAAACATCATTTACAATATGGTAGTAACAGGGTAGTAACGTAAAATAATGGCCAAACTCTCTCTTTTGATGACTCAACCAGTTTATTTCTATCAACTCGTAAGTACAACTAGGATATGCAGGTTTCACAGCATTGTTCAAACAGCATGGAATCTTGTCTTGTGGGCCATTTCGGCAAAGACAGAGATATTTTAGCAAGCATTTCTCGATTGAAATGCTGAGCCAAACCTCGTTCATTCAAGCACCTTGTCACTAAAGTTACTTAAGTACATGTATGAGGAAACAATGAAAAACCCTTAGTTTCAGCTGCATGGAACTAAAACCTCAGAAGAATTATAAGTGAGCCTTCTAGTTTAGTTAACTGATGATACAAAATGACTACTTTGCAAACAGGAAAGTATTTTTACTGAAATAAGTGGCTAACTAGCTATGATAACTTAATGATAGTTTGCCTGTTCTGCTTTCTTTCGCCTATATCTGGTCTAGAGATCATGGTGCAGAGATTAAGGTCGAAAGTCAGACATTGTTGCTTAAGCGAGAAAGCAGCTGTTAAACCAGATGGTAGACTGATGGAGGTTGTGTGCAAGTAGACTTTCTGTGTGCAAATGAGCACGCATGTATGTGCATGTGCTGTAACTGCTTGTGTATTCATGTGAACCTTCCTTCTGGCACATTTTTTTAAGAAATCTGAAAAGTTTCCATTTGATTTCATTGTACTAATGATATTTTGCAAATGGTATCTGTGTGATTCAGTTGCGGACTTGATGCAGGTTAACTTGAGGTTTAGTTGTGTTTGAGTCAGAGCTGTTCCATGGTGAACAATGGAAAACAGGGAAGAACAGACAAGTACAGTCAACTGTGATGGAGGAAAAGAGATGTGTGATCAGAAGAACAGGCGCTGACAGTGCAGAAGGAGAAAATGGAGAGGAAAAAGACAGAACTTTACCCGCCGCCACTGCTGCTGGTCCAAACGGAGAGATGAGGGGTGAGAGACAGTGAGTCAAAGAGAAAGACAAAAAAGACAAAGGGTGGGAGAAAGAAACAGAATGGGACACAGAAAGGAGGGGAAAACATCCATATGACAGAAAAAGAGAGACAAGAAAAGAGAATACAAGGCCTGCTTTTTATTATATCAACCCTCCCAGCTATAGACTACTGTGGCTAACAAACACATGCACATTATCACTGTGAAATTTAAGAAAACGTGTGTATGGACACACAGCACCAAACTATCGCCTTCAATTAATCTAGATGGGTTTACAAACCAGATTATTTTTCTTTTTAATTATTATTATATATTTTTTTTTTTAAATGTTATTATTATTATCACTATTGTTATAATTAATATTTGTATTATTATTATCATCACTATTGTTATAACTATAATTTGTTGTATTCACCAGGAAAATATTGTGGATTAATTGTCATTAACTTCTAACTAGCCCTAACCCCTATTTTAAATACATACATTTCAATTTGGACTATAACACATTTTTTAAAATCTGCACATAAGCACTTCCTTTCAAAAACCATGAGCCGAGTTACACTGCAGCTTTTAGAGCCTTAATTTGCATCAATGATACAATTATTTAGAAAGACCTACTGACAACTCGAACAAACATTGTCCGTCGAAAAAAAAATCTCAAAATGCCTTGGTAGTGTTATACATAACCAAACTCGGTCAGGTATCAGGCCGGTGTCTCTGCGAGCCTGTTTGGACACAAAGCTCCGTGAGGATGCAGAAATGTGCAGGACAGCAGCAAGCGGTCCAGGACACCAGCAGCCCTCAGACCAGACTAATTGGATTAAAGGAGCGATAAACATCTCCATTGAGACTGCTGAGCCTTTCTGGAGTGCCATTTGATTTCCACCAATTGAATTAGGGCTCTATCTGGATGTACATGAGTCTGTTCTGACTGTTTCGGATCTGCCCATCAGCCATTTGTGTCGTTAACCTCTATCGTAGTTAAATCAGACTTTATTGGTTCAAACGGCCTAATTGATTGTTTTGTGAGTTTGTATTTATGCTGACAAACAGTACGCAGCAGCCTTGCCTGGATAACAACAGTTTGACATCTCTGCTGCTTATTAATGACTATTAATTGCTTTATTTATTACAACATTTATGTAACATTGCTTCAGCTGCTATATTTTTTGTAAGCTCTTTGACTATTCCTATTCTTTCTGTTTATTTGAAGCTATTGAGGTTTCACGGCAGACATCTATTTATTAGTCCATCATTAAAAAGTCCCTAGGAAAGAAAGACTTGGTCACAGAGAGAGGAAATACAGACACATATGTAAAAGAAAGAGGTTAGAGAATACAGTTTAGGACAGAAGCACACAAACACACACAGAAACACAGACTGGTTCAAATGCTCACACACATATACATAAGACTTTAGGGGGAAGAGAGTTAGTGAACACACAAAAGTGAGAGAAAGACTGGAGCAGGGGTCAGTCTCATAGATGGCACCACCACTAGAACCCTGGAGCACCAGCCGAGTTCATCATTTCTCTATAGGACAAACACTTTCATCTCCATACTGGCCTTTAAGAAACTCTAAAATACTGGCATTTCCTTTTGTTTGTATCCTCGTTGATATGCTGCAAAACCAAGACAATGTGAGACCATGTTAAAACAGGACTCATTAGAAGAAAGAGGACATTTTTCACTGATTATACAAAATCATCACTGGACCACTCAAAAGGAAGAGATTCTTCTGACATTCTAAAAAACAGTGAATGCATTGATTCACGAAATAATGATACATTATGTGTTTATAACTATGCTACTGCTTGATTTTGTTCCTTTAAGTTAATTGATAAGGCTTGCCACAAAGTACTGTGTTGAAGCACCATTGTGTGTGTCCCATAATACCCAGTGGGCAAATGCAACCGTACATTTATAGAAGCCATAGTAACTCTGTAATGAGCATTGGAAATAATGAGTTTAAAAGATGCATTTCCCCAACTTCATGTGTTTGTGGGATCTTTTCATACTCATATTCCGAGATGACCAGCAAGAAGTCTATTTTGATTTAGGCCAGCAAGATGAGGGGGAAGAAGTAAAAGAGATGCAGGGTGTTACTATGCATGGTGAGAGAGATGAAGAGAAAATCAGAGAGCAAACGACAAAGGGAAGATAATTATAAGCAGACGGCCATTCTTTTCCTCAAGTCTTCTTTGACGATAGCCTAAGGCTTAACGGCGATTCAGCTTCCACTTATTTAAAGTGTTTTGAAAGCTGGATGGTCAGGACTAATGTAAAACGAGAGCATTGTAGGAACCAATGCTAGAAGATGACATGCTAAGTGGAGCAGTTTTCTTTGGTTTCCACTTGGTAAACTTCATGTCAGCTTATGTCTCAAAGACATAAAGGGTTAAAGCAGTACCAAGTACAGTTTAAATGCATTATGCAGCATGCATTCAATTATTTATGTCACTTAGCCCATTCCATTTTGATATCAAGGATATGGAGACATTGTGTCTGTATGGATTCAGAACATCCATTTCATCTGAGTCTATGGAAGATTGAACCCGTCTCAAAGTATCAATTCGATCATTTAAAATGGAAAAAGTGTGTGATTTACGTGGTAATCGTCCATGTTATAACATTTCTATTAATACCAATTCAGACCCATTATATAACACTGAAAGAAACCGTGTTTTTCTCAAAGCCCCTGCAAAGAAATAAATGCATCCCAGCCTGCGGTGCTGCAGTGCAATTTGCACATATATTAAAAGTGCAAATAGTGGAGCTAAATCTTCCCCTTTCTGTGCAAACTAACTATATTGCATAAACTGGCGGAAATCATCGCTAAAAGCCACACAAAGACTTTGAGACGGAGCAGATATAGCACTTGCAAGCGATGCGCAATCCATAGTGCTATAAGCATCTGCAATCCATTATTTGTGAATTCGCCCCTCAGTGTATTTTGCTGTTGCTGGGAAATGAAATGGAGCCTACCCAACACAAAATAAGGTTTGATGCCATGTGATATGAATGGCAAAGCAGCAAGCACACCGGTATAATGTGGACTTACAGCTAGGCTAATTAACTGAAACCATTAACACATTCTGTTTCAGCCCTGGATCACTACTGCATATATTTGAGGGAATCACAAATGGTCACTTACTTGCATGGGTGAATGTGAGGCAGGATCAACGCAACTAGTAAATCCTTTTCTCCTTATCGGAAAAGGCCAGTGTCTTGGTCTCCACGCGAGGATACTTCCTGTGTCTATTACATCTACTATGATAACCCCACACCTTTTCCCACACATAAGACCATCAAAATAAACATGTGTGGGGGCACTCCGCACAGACATTGTTGTTACCTGTAAAAGTATATTTCATTTTTAAAGTCATGAAATAAGATCAAGCATATTTTTTGCAGACGACCCGTGAGTATTCGTGTCGAAGGTTACAGCGTTACCTTTGTAAACCCATTGGACAGTAAGTCTTCACTATCACATTACACTTAACATTGACCGTAGTTCTGAAGGTCTGCTTGCTTTAAATTCTCCCAAATGATGCAAGGGCATGACAGCAAATCCTCACCAGTCATGCTCTGCACGCAGCAGAGTGCTCATAAACTAAGCCCTAACTGAACCCAGTGTTTGATCCTCACAGTCATGCAGATTAAGAAGGGTTTAAAGTACCTGCTTTGCCGTGGAGAGGGGTGTGGAGATTTTAGAGAGGCAGCTCACCATGACCTGTCCAGGCTTTGCATGGGCCCTTTAACTCTAGAACGCCTTGGGCACTAAAGGGTTACAGGTGCAAAGGGTGGTCCTCACCTCTCACAGGGGGCGCGGATGCGAATAGAAAGGGATGCTGGGGATACTTTTCTTCTTTTTTTTTTTTAATGTTGGGGCGCTGGTGGAGGGGTTTAGAAATGGCAGGACTGTAGAAGTTGAATAAGAGAGAAAAAGCAGGAGAAATGGCGAACTGTAGAGGAGTGGGCCTTTGAAAGCACAGGGAGATAGAAGCAGATGGCAAGGATATAGAAAATGCTGAGAGAGAGAAAGCATGTGATCGGGTATGAAAGAAAGAACAGAGAGGAATAGAGGCTGAATTGAGCCATGGGTGACTCAAGCAGAACAGGGGAGGCTGTACTCCAAGGTACCAGTGAGGTGGTAGAGAGGCAGGAGAGATGGAGGAGCGAGGAGGGGAGACAGGGGGAGGCAGGAGGGGGACTTACGTGAAGGCGAAGGCCACCAGAGCACCACTAACCACTATAAAGTCAAGGATGTTCCACAAGTCCCGGAAATAAGAGCCCTGGTGCAAGACCAGGCCCAAATCCACCATCTGGGGGAGAGAAAGGAGAACCTGGTCATGAGGCGTGTGCACTCCTGGGTATGGATGTGCTCTGTGGCGTCGGTGTGCTATGAAGAGTGTCCAATCCTCATTTGGGCTGGGCTTCTCTTGGTATGCCGTTGATTGTTGATTCTGGACATTGCCTCACCTTAATCAGCATCTCAAATGTGAATACTCCTGTGAAGACGTAGTCAAAATAGCGTAGGACCTGCACGAAGAGAAAAAGGGAATGATTTGCTGCTGAATTCAACTACTTGTTAAGCGTGACATGGTGGAGACATGGGGAATTTTTTATTCAAGCAACAGCCAATTTTTACATTGCGATGTGGTCCATGTTTTTTAAATATCAAATTATACAATAAGAATGATTTACAGTAACATTTTAAGATGCTAATTAAAAAATATATAATTTTGACTGTTTGACTCTTTATTTTGGTTTTATTTAACACATTATATAATTTATTTATCACTGATCCAGCTCATCACATGTAGAAGGCAGGAGTGACACTACAAAGAAAAAAAGCAACCAACATATTAAGTAAAAAGCAAAAGCATTATGTATTGTAAACATGTATACAAATGATATTTCATACAGCAGAAGCCTGGTCACTTCCATGTACATGGACTTTCTTACATTGTTGCGGGGGGATTCGGGCCACACGGGGTCTTCAGCAGCCAGCGCGATGCTGCTCATGGCAATGACCAGCAGGATGGTCATCTCAAAATATCGCAGGGTGCAAACGTAGTGACAGGCACGCCGAAACCTAAGAGCACACACATAGTTTTGATGAATATCTCCAGACTAGAGCTATCTATAAAAGTGTTGGATCTGTGACTTGATAGAAGATTCATTGTCCATTCACAAAAAGCTAAAGTTGTGGGGATGCCTCAAGAATGCATTCCTGTTGAATTATACAGTGTTGTTGTGTGTGTGTGTGTGTGTGTGTGTGTGTGTGTGTGTGTGTGTGTGTGTGTGTGTGTGTGTGTGTGTGTGTGTGTGTGTGTGTGTGTGTGTATCCATGCCACTTACGGGTTGGTGGTGGACAGGATGAACATGGAGCTGAAAGGAGGCATTGGCCTGGGTCCTCCTTCACCTCTCTTCTCATCATCATCATCGTCCTTATCCTCTTTCGCTGGCAGTGGCTCCGTGTTGGCATTCTTATTGACTGAAGGGAGAAATAAACAGGGGTTTAAGATGGGATGCTATTTTAGATACACAGGTAAAGAGGATACAAGATAGTATAATGTTGGGAAAATACTGAATGTACTCTTCCAATTTCAGAGTAGCACATGATAACAAGGGCCCAACTTTAGCTGTGTACATGACAGGATATATGATTACCTAGAAGAGCGTCAGGACACACTGTGAGGCTAAAATGTGACAACGATTAACATGATGATTCAGCCTCTATGGAGATAGGCATATGACTGTCTTGTTTATTGCTTACATGGGTCTTAGCTAATCTGAACTAAGCATAGAATACTGCTTTGAACCGGTATACATGCATCTTGTGACTGAATAACACCCTCTCTTGTATACAAGCATGTGAAGGACACTGTTTGGGGAACTCTTTGTCCCATATGCTCTGTATGTGATGACTACTTCCATTCTTGCTTGGATGATAAATACATGTATCCTGATATTGAAACTCAAGCCGATGACAAGTGATATTTTCCTAACATATAACAACATGGATTCTGCCCTCACCTTGCAGTATGGCATTGATGGATGGAAAAATAGGCATGTCTAGAGCTGTGTAGTCAGGGTGAGGCAGCCTGAGGACACTGTTGGTACGGTGATGGGCGATGCTCCCGTAGCTATCTAATGTCACCAAACTCCCGTGAGTGCTACTGTTTGCAAGATGGAGGGCGGATCCAAAGCCTGGGGCCGCAGGGTGGTGGGCGAGGGGATTAGGGTGAACATCGCCGGGTGGGGTGGAGCCGGAGACCAGTTTGGTGTTCATGAGGTTGTCCATGTCCTCGCTGTACTGGCTGTCCTGCCGGGGGAGGCTCTTCTGAATGGGCCGCGTGGTGGAGAGGTTAGGGACACTGCACTCCCTACAAGTGAGGAGTAAGAAGGAACAATAAGAGACGGAAAAAGAACGTTCCGATGGTATTCAGAGAAAGGTGTGACAGGATCGCAGAAAATGTTGAGTACATTGAAGATGGAAGAAACCATGGGTCTAAATCAACAACTTTTCTAAGACTACATTTCTTCTCTAAACCAACTTTTACTAAGATTTTGACGTCTACAAGTTTTCTTATTGAGGGTTTAGGTAAGCACATGATCTAGCAGAGAAGCAAAATGTGTGTGTTGTAATGTTATTGCCTTTTCTTTAATACTACAGTTGTATAATATAGGATGTAAAATACAATATTATTTTATAATTCATGATTTTTCTAATAAGATTACAAAGCATTATGGGCTTTAACTAAACATCCATCTAAGAAATATTTAAATTAATGTTTCCTTCGTAGGGTCATACTTCACTAGATTCTCTTGAACATTTTTTTTAACTTTCTGTGTAGTCACTCATTGAAATTGATTACCTGTTATTTAGGAAAAATCTGCACTTCTCTCACTTTACAAGGACCATGGGATTCATCAATATAAGAACACAGGTGTAAACATCATGACTCTAACTTTTCTTAGGACTCAACCAACACGTTTAAAAGCAATCTTAGGAGGATATTGGTAAATGAGGCCCAATGAGGATAAACAGAAAACTTTGTTTCATGGACATACTTCCTTCTGTGCTGGCACATCCTCTTCCCCTCGCCGTCCGTCTGGTTTCCATGGCGATTTCTTCTTGGCCTCCTCTCACTGCCTTCCCCAGCTCCTTCCTGCTCTCCTCCTTCTCCACCTCCCTCCACCCCTCTGCTCTTATGTCTCCCTGTTTTCCCCGCTCCTCCGCCGCCATCCTCGCCCTCCTCTGCATTTTTCCGATGTGACCTGGGCTTCCTGTGCTCCGACTGTCCCGCGCCTCGACTGCCGCTCCGGGTGTGGTGATGGCGCCGGGCAGGCCTGTCCTCCGAGCCGGGCCCGGGAATCACCGTGGCATCCAGTCGGACATGAGAGGAGTGGTGGTGATGCTCGCTTTTACGACTGCGCCTGCTCTCCGAGGACTCGCCGCGCTCCAGGGGAGGCCTCGCCGTCCCAGAGCCCCCTCCTCCAACTCCTCCCACTTGGCCAACGTGTTCGTGGAGGCGTGTCTGTCTGTGGAGCTCGTCGGCAGGATGGTGCTGGCTGAAGCAGAGGTCTGCATTGTTTGCTGTGGTCTTGTTGGTGTTGTTGTTGCGGTTCTCATGGGGGTCAACAACCAGCGGACGATCCAGGTGGGTCTTCATGTCTGGGCGGGAGTTACGTGCGAAGTTCACCTGCAAGGGGAGGATGGAAAGGCAACATAGAGGAAGATAGAGAAGGGAAAAGAGGAGGGAATTAAGTTAGAATTCATAATGGCCTTCACATATATAAACACCAGGTAAGAAACATGAGTCATCATCATTGCCGTCACTTGTGTACACTGATAGCACAAGCCTAAGGGGCTTGGTTTGCCTTGTCCTTTACATTGTTTTGCTCCTCCCTCCCTCCGCTTGCCTTCCAGTGCTCCTCAGTGTCCAGCTCGTTGTAGAGAGCCTCGCGGCTGGTCACCAGCGTCTGCCTCCTCAGCTCCTTGGTGCGTTGTTCCCACACCGACTTGTTGATTCCCCCCTTGTTGTTCTTCTGCTGCTCCTTACTGTAAAAATAAAGACAGAATTAAAGACACTTGCTGCTGTGAGAATATACACACAAAGACGTGAGGATGATGTGAAAACCAGCAGAAAGTATAAGTACGTAAAGCCAGGATGTAGAGACACAGACTCTTAAAGGGTCATTTGGTTGGAACAACGTAGCTCAATAAAACAAAGTTCTGGGTGTGGACACAGCTCGTCAAAACACCCAACAGCCTACTTTGGGAAACCATGTGGAGACACAATGGAGGATAACACTGCGGCAATTATTTATAATAATGTATAATTTACCGGAAGTATACACAGTTTATGAAACAGATCCCAAGCTGAATTAACTAGAAAGCACAGTCATTTCAAAATCTGTTATTGGTTACAGTAGTAGTGTTTCCATACAAATACATTTTTAAATTCTGAATAAATAAGCTGTGTGGAAACGGAAACATTTTCTCCAAATCTTGCAATAAAATTGGCGTATTGATTATATTTTAAGAGCTTTCATAGAATTCGACTGACAATTGAATGTAACGACTGTAGTGTTTATATCTACCTGATAGAGAAACATCCAAATGATCAGTATCAATCTTTTCCAACCTCCAAAACGTCTACATGTTATCCGCTTACACACACCCCCCCCTACCCCCTTTTTTCACACAGGGCCAATAATAAACCACAGGAAAGCAACAGCCAAAATATAAGCCAATAACAGCTAAATAAAAGCCAGATATGTAATTCATAAAAAGGATAACAACAAAAGGGAAGGAAAGGAAGGTTTTCTAAAACGCAAAATAAAGCAGGGAATGGTTGTAGAGTCAATAAACAGAAAGGATTCAGAAATGAATAAACAAATAAATAAATACCAGTCCAGAAAGGGGTCGGTAGCGTTGTGACACTCACTGTGTACTTTGTTGCTGAGGAGGGAAACAGCTGGTGAGTGAGATGGCACGAAAGAACAGAGGGAGGATTTCATTCCAAAATGGGCTATCCATTCGCCATTTAAGCCGGCCTAGCCCGACCAATGGTCACAATCATAATAAAATGTGCTGTAAAAACAGACTTTCTACTAAAATAAGTTAAATATATTACTGAAATGCAAAAATAAATGAAGAATTAAAGGTGGGATAGTTAATTTTGGAGAAACCAGCTCGAGTGAGCTAGAATTTGAAAATACACAGCCGGAAAAAATCTGCCACTTCCTTACAGAGCCCCTCCTCCAACACACACGAACGCGCACATGACCAATGAGGGCACGAGATAAGTTTGTGCACAGATGGAAGGCTGACAGGCAGGTAGGCCATCCAGTTACTTTAGCCGGGCCCGCTAAAATGATTGGTCGTGCTTTTTACAGTGCTACGGCTCAGATGACACTTTTTTATGGATTTGTTGTCAAAGCACTTAAGATATTCATTGCTATCGGGATGTTAAGAGCATTCCATGGAATATAACAACAAGTGTATCTCGAAGAAATCTTAAGAAATGCTACATTTTTTGCCAAAAAGATTGAGCATTTTGGAATGCAACCCTTCACACACACACACACACACACACACACACACACACACACACACACACACACACACACACACACACACACACACACACACACACACACACACACACACACACACACACACAAAATACAACATGCACCTAGACACACACACACACACACACACACACACACACACACACACACACACACACACACACACACACACACACACACACTGTGCATCTGTATTACATCACTCCCTGATCCTGCTGTTCTGTCCTTATCACTCTTTTACCATATATTCCTCAACCATCTGCATTACCTCTGATCTTCCTTTGTGTCTGCACAGTGCTTTATTAAAGAGACTGCTAAATAAAGAACAGTTCCAAATTAAAAATGTATACTTTCAAGACTGCTATCATCAACTGTGGTGCATAAACTATAAAAACACAGTTAAACTCCTTCCCTATCTGATAAACTCACCACAGTGAAGTGATTTAAATTGGATTTGTTCCTGCAATCTGTTTAGATTGTAAAGCTGTGTTTGTATACTTCAAATTTAGAGCGTACCAGTAAGTATTATGGAGCCTAACAGGTGTTTTCATGTAGCCTTCATGGTAGCCTCCTCCCTGAATCTACCATAGAATATCTTCTTAAGAGATTCGTCATGCTCCACTGATGTCTCCGAGTTTAAAATCCTTGCTTGGAAAAACAAGGACTTTCTCTTTTGGAATTTCAATGTTTTTCCTTTTTTCACACTGATACAGTGATTTAAATACACACTGCAGAGCTGCGTTGCCCCTACAGCAATGCACAGGATATTTCAAGATACCAGTTAACAGTTACCAAAATGTAATCTAAAACTCCAGTTCTGACTCAACTCACTTAGGTTATAAAGTAGAAACATATTAAGCTACATTAAGAGACACCTGTCAAACAAGTGTAGCTTTAATAATAATCACACACACACTTTCTCACACATACACACGCAGATACATGTGCATCGTATTGACAGATACATGTTCAACCTCAAAAGGACTCCCAGGTAAAGTGTACTGGTACGAAGACACACATGCTCACAGCACAGTGAAGAACAGTACACACAGTAACAGGAAACAATGAGATTCACAAAAGGATGAACACGTTATTATGAGCATGTATGTTTCAATCCTGTTTGCCCATTGTATTTGTGTGTGTGTGTGTGTGCGCGCGCACGTGCATGCGTGTGTGTGTGTGTGATGCAGTGTAGGCAGAGGCTGATGTTTTACAGCGGTAAAGGTCAGAGCTGTGTGTACGGGTTGTGTGTTTGTGGTGTTTCCAAGCAGACGTGGGAACCCCCGCTGTGCTTTTTTTAGGGACAGACCACATAGTTGTGTGTGTGTGTGTGTGTGTGTGTGTGTGTGTGTGTGTGTGTGTGTGTGTGTGTGTGTGTGTGTGTGTGTGTGTGTGTGTGTGTGTGTGTGTGTGTGTGTGTGTGTGTGTGTGTGTGTGTGTGTGTGTGTGTGTGAACTTTAGAAGGAGAGAAAGGGAAGACCCCTGTGTGTACAGAGAAAAGAGATCAAAGACTCTGACTTTCCTGACCAGCGGAGGGCTGGCCCAGATCAATCCAACACCGGTGTGTGTGTGTGTGTGTGCATGTGTGTGTGTGAAGCTGATCGGAAGGGAGAAGAAAGTGTGCATGCATGTTTAGGCTTATCACTAAATGTGCTATAAAAACAGCTTTAACATTCATGTCAGCCTACAGTATGAATGTAAACAAAATGAAAGTATCTTTATTCCAAGGAAGGCAATATTTTAAGATATGTTGTAATTGTCTTTATGAATATTGTGATATTAAAAAAAAGAAATATGAAAAAGTAAAACTCTTTGCATGATGGTAAATTAGTGAACAAGCTGCCACCATGACAGTGAACTTCTGCATTACACTGAAAAGACATCATGGGTAATTAGGCATCTTTTACAAATGTGGTTCAAATGTTATGAGAATGGCTGTCCATAAACTGCGATGTATAATGCAACATGATGTAACACATGTTTATCAAATATATTCCAAATGCATTCATACATTGTTCTGCTATTACTTCTAGCAGCTGAATCTTTCATTAGTGCTTACATCGTGGTGGATGAATGAGTTTCTGTTTTTTGAAGATATGTGCACATGTTCCACCCTCATACTCCTGCCTGGTGTGAAAAAGTTCTAAAAATGTGTACAAAAACCCAAATTCAACCTTAATAAGAAACAACAACTCACGCTGCGATGGAGAGGTTGGCGGCAGACATTGGGCTGACTTCAGCCACCTCCTTGGCTTTCTGCAGGGCGATCTTCTTACTGTTAGCCGCCTCTTCGTCCTGTTCGTCCTGCAGAGAGACATTAGGAAGGAAATCAAAATCAGAAATCATTTGTTGAGTGGAGGACCATAACTCTCTGAGAAATGGGACTGTAGGACTGTGTACCTTGGTCAGTTCCTGTGCGTTGGCTAAATTGTCCACAGCGATGGCCAAGAACACATTCAGCAGAGTGTCTGAACATGGAGTTAGAGGAAATCCAGCATGTAGGAGTTTGTTTGTACTGTACGGGTAAATACAGCATTAACATAATCGAGCAGCTGGATCTCAACAGGAACATTTCAAACATTTCAAAATACAAAAAAAACGTCTGTTTGACTTAGTGGGATAAATGACAAGAAATAGGTGGATTACAAAGTTAACACTAAGAAATATAATCTGTGTATGAAAAGTTGGGCTGCACAAAACAAAAATGATTACATTTTTATTGAAAACGCAATATGGACATGTGTAAAATCCAAATTGCAATAATCACAATATTTAGTGAGGGCAAAATATTAATTCATATAGTTATTTTTTTCAAAGAGTGCAATCATATGCATCTGGATGGTGTACTCTGTAAGTCAGTTACTAAACTAACATATAAAGCAGGGGTCACCAACCTTTTTTTAGGGTGAGGGCTACTTTCAAAAAATAAAACAAGTCGGGGGCTACTTTTACTCCTCTTTTTTTTGTTTTTTTGCAGTGTATATATTTAGCACGTTAACATTATGATATGCTGACCTTTAACCTTTGTGTGCTGTTTGGGTCTGTGGGACCCGTTTGCAGTGTTTACTAAAAGAAAATGTATGCAATCTAATTATATGAACCTGCTTTATTTGGGGGTAGACCTCCTCTAGCGGGGTCCACACCTCCTCTAGGGGGGACCTCACCTCCTCTAGGGGGGACCTCACCTCCTCTAGGGGGGTCCGGGGGCATGCTCCCCCGGGAAGATGTTTTTTTAAATGTTGAAGTGAAATGCATCAATCTGGTGCACTTTGAGCACAAAATGAATGTATGGATACAGCTCTCAACACTCATATGAAAGGGAGCTGTATACTTTCAATAATCCAAACATCTTTAGAATATGATCACAACCAATAACAAATCATTTAAACTTGTTTATTCTTATCTTATGTTACCTGGTTAGCATTATTTCTTTTATTTATGCATATTTTACTAATCACTCCCCTTTCAAACAGTTTTTTGTACTGTCCTATAGTACACAT